TGAACTTGGGAAGCTCCCTGTTGTTCTTCTTCTGGAGGGTGTTTGGGGAAATCTATGCTAACCTCATCTGGTCAGTAACAGGAGCAGTAGCCCTGGCGACCTCGACTGGCCAAGCTCTGACGTCAAAGGCCTGACACAGTCAATCGGCCTGAGGGCGCAAGGAAGGCTATTTTTAGCGCCTGGCTGATAAAGGGGGAGTAATCTGATTTTCATGTAAGCCGAACGCTTCCGCCAGGCATCCAGCAAAGAAACCAGATCATTAACATGTTGGTAAACTTTAGCCGAGGCTGGGAGGGCGAGCCGGGCGACGGTAGAGGCTGACTGACATGTGGGTTAATGTGTTCTCTGCAGTGATGGGCCCCTCGTAGTGCTACCCTACCTACACTCGAGGTCCCTACAGACTCAAGGACACCTTCATGACTCTTTAGCATTTTAAAGAGACAATGCATAGCTTCATACAATCTTGCTCTGTCAAGCGATGTGCCAATTTTCAGCTTTAGAGGCCAGGTTAGATGGTGTGTAGTGTATCCGCTTGCTAAGTTGTGACGTATGGAATACTGTTTCTTTGCCAAAGCCTCTACTCATTTAAGATGAACGATCTCAGTAGTCTTTTATAAGCACCGTTTAGTCATATCACACTTCAAAGCAATACACAATACACAAATTGATCTTAATAATTGTGATGATCAGATCACTTCATTGAAAATGTATTGGTCACACTTTATTTTAAGGTATAATTTTCGCTATTAACAAAACAAAAAGTATTTTTAATGGAATAAAGTATTAATTTGCTGCTTGTAAATAGTTTTTAACGTAGTAGTTGGGTTTAGGTATTGGGTATGATAAGGGATGTAGAATAAGAACATGCAGATTAGTACTTTATAAGTGTTAAACAGTCAATATCTTAATAATAGGCATGTTAATTAGCAACTAGTTATTAGTGACAATTGTTCCCAATGTATTAAACACTACCTCCTGCTAAAGTCTAGTCATTGAACCCAGTTGTAAGAGTTCTAGTTAATCATTTGGTAAAGTGGCAGAAAGCAGATTGTTTCGATGAATCATCTGTTGAACTGCATCTCAATCATCACAAATACTGCAGAAGACCTACTGGAACATGCATAGACCCAAGATTCTCACAGAAATCAGTCAAGTTTGGTAAAGGAAAAATCATGGTTTTGGGTTACATTCAGTATGGGGGCGTGCAAAAGATTTGCAGAGTGGATGGCAACATCAACAGCTCGAGGTATCAAGCGAACTGCACCTGTATGGCAGGGTATGTAAACTTACATGCTTACATTTTATTCTAAGCATTCAGTGTCTGTAGTTTAATATACTTAATATATTTAATATAATATTAAGCGTGATATCATTACCTGATATGAAATGAGAACTGCAGAGTCCAGCATTTTCAATTAGGTCCTCACTCCATTCAGCTTTTGTGATGGCTGTTAGCCAAAGACGCCTGCGGTTGGCATTAAAGGCAGTGTGGTTTACGGTAAAATTTAATTTTTCGAATTTGGCATCCTACCGCAGAAACACTAAATGTTTGATATTGCAACCAGTCTTTTTTTTGCAAGCGGCATGTGTGGTTTAACCCGTGTGACGTAGGTTGGTATATCCCCTATTGGCTGCTTATTAGTACTTATAAAGCACATTTTCGGAATACAATAACTAAACTACCTTAATAACTTTTAATACGGAGTAAATTAGGAGTTGATTAAAGCAAAAGTCATATTGGTTTGCTAAATTCTTTCCAAATAGTGCTGTTCAATCATTTGCTGGAATTGTATAGATAGATGTAGAAATACAAAACATCATGATGTCAGATTTTTCCAATATCATCCAGCCCTATTTAACAGTCTAATTCACCAGCTATTTCTTTTAAACAGTTTGCAAGGTTAAAATTGTCTCAATAATGTTCAATTAAAAGTTGCTTCCCAGTGCCTTTTGAGGTTTCATAAGGTTCAGAAGCTGCCATGACCTTGTCACCTTTAATGGGAAAACTTTTTGTTTTCCCTGACTGAATGTCTTTGGAAAAAGTTTAGATTAGCTTGCACAGGGCATGAGTTTGAGAATGCATTGCTATCCCCATAGCAACTCATTAATTCCACCTTACTGTCGTGAATGAAAAGTGTTTGAGGGAGAAAAATAAGTGGAACACAGACAAAGGCAGGAATGTTAGGTTTTGTGGGGTCTTTTATAGTACTTTAGCTGTGCCAAAACACTTGTACTTGGAAGCTGGGTTTTCTGGGTAGTGGTTCTATTGGAAAAATCAGAGATGGTTGGTCTGGTTTCAGAACAAGCCTCAGGGTATAACCCTGATTTACCCTCTAGATTATATAACTACATGTCCTCTTTGGCAGTGCAATGCCCTACCATAAAGCAGGGCCCTTTTTTTCTCATGACCTATAAGAAAGCTGTTTAATGCTGATTTTACATCAATGCTGGAATTTTTTCTTTGCTTCTCTTCTTGGAAGAAATTGGTCTGAGGTCAGTTGGATGAACTTCCAACTGGCTCATGATTCACTAGACACTAGTGTCAACGAGCCAGTCGACATTTGAGCCCATACACCCAGTTACGGTAACATGGGCTGACACAAACAAATGTCAGCCAAACATTTATAGAAACATCACACGTAAAACGTGGAATACCCTCACAAATGCAACCATGGCCTTTGCTTATGTAACTAAGTGCTTTAAAAAAATGGTATGTTTGTGTGTCAACATGCTGTTATTGAGCGGTACAGGTATTGAGGTTAAGCGAACCTGTTTGAACTCAGTAAAGAGGTGACGCATTAATAAATAAAAAGGCAACAAGTGTACATTATATTCAAGCATACATACATTACTACATGCATACATATACACTACTACATGCATACATATACACATACGTACGCACACACACATACATTTTTTTTTCCCGATAGCTAAATTGAAATGATACATATATTCTATTTAGGCTTATATAAATTATGTATAACCTGTCCTCCAATATTCCACATTAACACTGTTTTGAGAATTGAGTCGGGTTAGATAGATAGACAGACAGACAGACAGATAATTTTAATTATCTGTCTGTCTGAGGCATTATTTTTTTATTAGGCATATTTAATGGTATTCTCGGTGCACGTGTGTGGATAATTATGGCCCAGTTGTATAAGGTACTAAAACGTTGTAAGTTATGTTATTAAAGAAAATGCGTAAGCATTAAACTGTGTTTTTACTAAAATATTAAATAAATATTGGCCTATAGTGAGTTCGGGCATACGCACTTATGAAACAAAAGTTTGTGTGTGACAAATGAACAGATGAAATATGTGGCTCAGCTTGCGTATGGATATTTCCAGTTAATTAATTTCAAAATCATCACGAACAGCAATGCAAATGAGGATTAAATTTATTGTAAGTGTATAAAGAGTGTATTTTAAGAGTGTTTTGTGACCACCTCCAAATTACAGAGTGTGTGTTTCTTTTGAGGACTAACTCATCATCTCCAGGCTGTCCGTGGGGTTGTAAAAGGTAGTAAATTAAATTAGCCAAAATTAAAGCCATTAAAAAATATGAAAAAGTAACAAATTTCGTCTTCGTCTTCTGACGAGGTATTACATTTTTAAGTGCAATTGGTGTTAAGTGCAGGCCTTTATTCTAAAATTTACATGGATTTGTTTATATGTTGAGAGTAGGACCTGAGTGAAATCATGTGATGTTGTGTTCGTTCGTGCGTTGGGTACAAAACTGGGTACCTGGCTGGTTTGCTCTGGGAATGCAAGTTTTCGGACCTCTGGCTGGAGGACTCAAGATTTAAAGACTGGCTTAGGCCTGTAGTTGGCAATAGCCGCGAGGTTTATTGCCATGTCTGCATGAAGACAATTAATATAACCTTGCTTGCACGCGCATCACTTTGTGCCTGCAGTTAAACTCACAGCGTTTTTTTTTTATGACACTTTAATTGATCATTTTTTCCGCAATTGACATTAAGAACGAACATAAAAGCATTGTCTGATTGACAAGGAGCACCTAATTTTGTTCATAGGAATTTAAAATGCCAAATGGGATGAATTTTTATACCCCATTTCAAAAGTGAAACATACTCTAATAGGTAGTGCAGTGTGTGGGTGAGAGGGGGGCAGTGTTTCAGTGTGATCCTGTTATGTTGTGGTTCTGTGACTGCTGGTGTTGTTTAACTGTATGGTTAACAATTATGACAGCTAAAGTAACTAGGTTAATTTCAATTTAAATCAATAAAAAATAAATTAAATATTAATCTAATATTAATATTTTTTATTTGGATATTATATTTGGGTATTTTATTGTGTGTTTGGGTAGGTTTTGGACAGCTTTTGGGCTGGAAAAAGTCAGTTACATCTGGCAACATTGCTTTTTTTTAACAGAGCCGCAACGTCAACACGCACAGAATCTATCGGCACAGTTCAGCACAGTTGTCTAACTTTGCCTCAAAAAAAAAAGCCGAGAACAGTTTGTAATTGTGCCGTGCTATTCAAGGCTTACTGGAGAAACATCCACATATGACATATATGACATTGAATAAAAACTATGGACAAAGGCCCATTTGGACACCTTGATTAATCCCTCTGCTTTACTTAAATGTATATGTTTTCTGCAATGTGTTATGCAATATTTCATTTACTCCACTACAGTTGCAGTCGTGCTGGTTTACATTTTTTGAAGGTATTAAAAAAGGTAGTAAAAGGTATTAAATTCAACTTAAGAAGTTCTGCATATACCCTGATCTCTCCCCATGTGTTTTTTTTTGTATTGAAAATGTGTCAAATGAGACTCCCTCCTCACCTCACGTCTCTTGTGCGCATAGTAACGCTTAGGGAGACATAATATTGGACGCTCTGTGCATCCTTTTGGGAAAGTAGCTATGGTTTAATTTTAAATAATCGATATGCATGATATTTCAAAATTTCGCATCGTCCAAATAATAATTCCGATATTATCGCTAATATTTGTTTTTGTTTCTTCTCTAGTGGATGTGAAGACCTTACTACCCTCCGGGATGCAGAGCCCGGTGGGAGGTGGAGGAGATCAGGGCGGAGGTAGCGGTGGTCCGGTAGACCTGCGTACAGACCCACGTCTGAGTGCGCTAAGTGCTGTAGACCCATCTCTGAGAGAAAAACAGCTTCAGCACGAGCTGCTCTTACTCAAACAGCAACAGGAGCTCCAGAAACAGCTGCTGTTCGCCGAGTTCCAGAAGCAGCACGAGGTTTTGACGCGCCAACATGAAGTGCAGCTACAGGAACATCTGAAGGTACGAGCCTCGCTGTTCTCTCTGTGCCCTTTATTCCCTTCAACCTTTTGATTCTTAACCTCTAAACCTCCGAACAGCAACAGCAGGAGATCCTCGCCGCGAAACGTCAGCAGGAGCTCGAGCAGAAGAGGAAGCTTGAACAGCAGCGTCACGAAGAGATGGAGAAACAGAGACTGGAACAACAGCTCATCATGCTGCGAAACAAAGAGAAAGGCAAAGAGAGTATGCATCCATACATTATGCACAACAGATATACAGATATACAGACGCTGATCATCATGGCCTGGTACTTATTCCAAAGCAGGAGAGGTTTAAATGCACCACTCACCTTTTAGTTCACGAATAAAAACACCTTGCCGAGCAGCACGTAGCTAATGTTTATCGTTGTTTGCTGCTATAATTACACATTGTCATGAATATCCCTTGAAGTACTTTAGGCACAGCAGGCACAAATTGCTCTATTATTTCTCATCTTTGGCTGTTTACTATTAAAAACAACACAGTGCCATGCTAGGATTTATTGTACCTCCAAATTAACTAATTGGATCTGTTTTAAATCATAGAGTGAGCTGCCTATAGAATCCCTGCAGGTATTAATTTTTTTTTTTTTTTATCATGAATATTTTAATATTCTGTATTATCATGGTATTGACCTAAGCTGCAAAAAATGGTTACAACAAATTATTTATTGTATAAACATGCTCAAAGTAGATAAATGCTTTAAACAAAATACATTGCAAAAGATAACACTTGATAATAAAATCTCATTATTAAGCAGTAGCTATGTTTCCATCCAAAAATGGGAATTAAATTTATGTGCAAAACTGGAATATCGCATAAAAGTTGTGCGAATAAAGCAGCTCAAAGAGAATAAAATCATTCTTCGTCACTTCCTGTTTAACTGGTGCCAAATATCACCAGTAAAAACGGAATTTGTTGCGGTAGGAGAAGCTGCTTGAATCTTTTCTTCATTTAATAAATGACTTTGACCTCAATGACGACTTGATGAATGTGGGGTGGTGTCTAAAGGTGTGAGATGCAGAGATTCTCTTGACAATTCTGGAGGTTATAAATAATATAGCCTAACACCAATATTGAAACGGTTAAGGTGTTTTAGAATGACCAAAACAACATTTCAGATGTTTTACAGTGTGCTCAAGCTGCTGGTTTGTCCATTCACAAACATTTTTATCATCACATAATCTCTTATAACCAAATCAAATTACCTTTTTTATTGTGCATACTGTAATTTGTTCCGTAAAAGCATTCCCATTGTAGTTCATACGCATACATTTTTTATGCACATCTTGGCATTTTCATCAACTGATTTTTTTTTAATGCGCATATACAAAATGCTCATAAAAATGGGTGGATGGAAATTTAGCGGCTGTTTATTAAAATCAACAGTGAGAAATAACCTTATTTAGCTGTATGTCTATAAAAAATGTAAAAATACAATTTAATTTTAACTGTTTTGTACATTTAATTAAATTATTTAATTTTTACGCTATTGATTATTATTTTAATATTTATTTATTTTTAGCTATTAACTAAGAAATTAACATCGGCTAAGATTAGCTGGTTAGATTAACAAATGCTTTTGTAGTTGCCATTACATTGACCTTTAAGGTCCCACATTTTTTAGATGTTGGTATTAGTATGTTAGTTTTAAGGATATCTATCAGATAGTGTGCTACAAAATTTGTGTTTTAGAAGATATAAACCTGATATAAACATCCAAAGCTTGCAGTTTGTCACTTTCGCCTAAATCTGAGATGTCAAAACTATGCCAAAATTAGCCTATTGTAACCTTTGAATTAGCTGCCAACTAATCAAATTGGAACAAACTGCCAAAAATGTTTGAGGCGAATCCCTCAGAGATAGCCATTTCTAATTTAACATAACCTTTTGTTTGTTTGTTTGTTTGTTTGTTTGTTTGTTTGTTTGTATAATTGCTGAGCTACAAAAAAAAGCTAAAGTGAAATTAAATTTTTCAGTTAAATGTTGTAAATTAATCTGATTTTTTAAGGGTCATGAAAGCCTAAAACACATTGTTTAGATGTTGACATATATATGTGTGGCACATTGCTGAAAATAATATTAGGACACATATTAAGTAAAAAAAAAAAAAAACATTGAACTCCAGTGTGTAAAAATGAGATTGAGTTTATGGTTTTGTTATAAGAAGTACATCCTAAAATGTAAAACTATATATACATGATTATTAATTTTAATAATAAGAAAAAAAAGAAAAACATCAGAAAAAAGTTTGGGAACCCCTGGCCTCCACATTACGTCATTCGCAACACCTCATATTTTAGTTTCTCATCAAATCTTGACCAATCAAATGCTTTTTAGTATCTTACATTCCCTGCCCCCTTCAAAAAGCTTCTGATTTGCTTTTCATTGGATGCGCTTGAGCTCAACATTCTCACTGGCAGAGCTGTGATAAAAACAAAACCCCTGTTTTTTAAAGGGAGCAGTTTCTCTATGTGTCCCACCCTCTTTTCGTGTTTCAGTTGAGATTACGTCACACATTAAATAAAAGAATGCACATTTCAAAGCACTTCACCAAACCTTGTAATAAAAACTACTGATGTTAATGTCACAATATTCACAATAAATAACGAACACATATAATATCAGTGTTGTGCATGTTCATATGCATGATATCTTGAATAGATGTTTATGGCGGTTTGATCAGCTCAAACCAGTCACCACAAAGTCTGGGAATGTTTACCTAATCGTAAAAAAAAAAAACATAAAGCAAACATGTATTTTTATTCTTAGCATGTTTTGTTTGCTATTTATTTCTTGGTAATGATGGTTAAACATTATTGTTCTCTATTGGTCTGTGAATAATTAGTGCTTTTTTATTTAACATATTTATCTGAATTGACAGTAAAATGTATGATGTTGCGAAAGTTGGCATTTAAAGTAAATGTTGTTGTTTTGAGATTTCTCTTAATGAGTGTATCCCTAAATTTCCCTTGTCTTATCCCCAAATGTCCTCTGCCTTATGTTCTCAGGTGCCATCGCCAGTACTGAGGTCAAACTGAAGCTGCAGGAGTTTCTGTTGAGCAAAAAGGAGCCCGGCCCCGGTGGACTCAACCATTCCTTCCCCCAGAAGTGCTGGTGAGAGCAACTTTGCTAGTCGCTCAGGATTGGTAGACCCAAATTCACTTTGCACCTTTTTAACCTATTTTTTTTTATCAAAGGCTGGTTCAGTGTGTGCTCTGATTTTGTTTTCTGCAGTATTATGTAAATGAGCATGCTGACATTGCATCATGCCACATTATGCTGTAAGTTTATGGCTCTCATTAGTGTGGAGATGGAGGGGTGTTCGTAATGGACTGTGTCTGTTTTAGGGGGGCTCACCACACATCCCTGGAGCAGAGCTCTCCTCCACAGAGCAACACACCAGGAACACCACCCTCCTACAAACTCCCCCCGCTCTTAGGATCCTACGAAGGCAAGGATGACTTCCCTCTGCGGAAAACCGGTGAGTAGACTTCAAGTGTGTGTACTTAAAAAAATGCTATGCACTACTGATCAAATGCTTGATTCAGTAAGAGTTTTTAAAAGAAATGAGTGCTTTTATTCTGCAAGGATGCAACTGATCAGTTTTACTATGTTACTCCAAAGTTACAATGATAATTTAAATATGGTGCAATATTAGATACATTTTTGAAAATCTACTAAATCACATTTATTATATTATAATAAAAATAAATGAACTGACAAAAATAAAAACAACTATTCAATTTTTTTGTATTTAGCATATTTAGTATGTTAAAATAGACATTGAAGACTTGATCTGTAAGACTGTCATTTAGTGTTACTATAGCTGCTGATATCACCTTTTCCTGAATCATTTTACCATATTAACCATGTAAAGTACTTCACTATCATATGGACTTCTTAGAGTTCACTTGTTTTGACTTGGATTACTTATTAACCACTAAGATTGCATAAACTTTTAATGCACATTTAAATGAGAAACCAGTGATGGAAACAGCAAAAATACGTTCACTTGAGGTGGCTTTTGAGGAGGTTAATGCGTATATTGGGAGATGGAAATGTATTTGCAGAATAAACTCTGATGTAGCAAACATTAACTGAGGTAAAGTCTAGATCATATACGCGGCCATCCGAAAGTGCGATATGCACATCAATATAGCATTTTTTGACACTATAACAATAATTTATATTTTTACAGTACTATGTGTTGGGGTTAGGGTTGGGGTGGGGGTAGGTGTAATTAAAATACAGTAAGTGGGAAATTTTATAAATAATATAAATTCTCGTAAACTTCCGGCTGCAACCATATCTGATCTAGCAATAACCATTAGCTGGCTCCATTACGCTTGCCCTGTTTACTGTTGGTCACTAGGTTACCAATGCCACAGCTAACCACTCTGAAAACTTGATGAACATTCTAGACCTAATTCACAGCTTTTTATTTTACAAATATTGACAAGATTCCCTTCATTTTACAATGAAAACCCGAACTATTGTCATTTTAATGACACTCATATTGAACTGAAAACAATTAAAAAAATTATTGCTGCCTATTTTTTTATGTTTATTAAATGTTCCATTCATTTTAACTTGCATCAATTAATCTGACTAAACATATTAGATAAAAAACGTTTATTGTTTATTAAAGTTTATTGAAACCTAATTAACTTATTAAAATAAGATAAAGCAACATAAAACGTTTGTTGTCACGACTTTTTGTAATATCATATTTTACAGTGAAAAACTGAACGCTTTACCAGTGAGAAAACAGTTTAACAGACAGTCTGTAGCGTGAGGAGAAAGAACGAGCCTCCTCCATTCGGCTTCTTTACTTTCTCTTTACTTTACTTTTACTCTTTACTTTACTCCTTTACTTTCGTGGAGTAAGGAAACGGTGTTGTACACAATCCACTGAAGACATCCATTAGCCTACATATTTAATTTAATTTGTTAAGTGCAAAGATTTGTTGTTTGTGTGTATTAAGCAATGTGTAATTGTATGGACCTGCATAGGCGCATAACTAACGCGCTCTGTGCTGGACTTTAGACCTGCTTTTAGTTGGTCAATGGTGCAGTCTATTTCACTTCCTCAAAATAGCAAATCGCCAACAATGTACCTTAACGCACCTCCTTTTTACACCGGAACATCTATGAGTCCACAAATTGGCCACATAGCGTAAAACATGAAAAGTAGGGTTGAGCCGGTCTAAAATTAGCAACAAATTACAAACACCAAACCAAACACGTCTTGCGCCTTATGTGTATGTTGTGGTCCTTTGTCTTTGCGAAGCTACTTTAACAACATTTACATTGTATAAAAGTGCTTTGCAAACTACAATGTCTAATGTGAAACATTGCTATGGACGTTGGCATCGTCGTCATAGGTGGCGGCGAATCAATTATTTATTAATAATTAATTAATTCATAACTAATTCATAATTTGTAGCCTACCGTTTTAACTACCTGACCCGCATGGTCTTTGTTTCACCCATAACCAAATCATAAATAACTAAAGATAAGGTACACACAAATTACCACCTGTCAGTCACTTTTTTCGCGGGACTCTGACATGAATAGGCAGAATGATCTGTGTCGTTATAATGGCGTCGACAAACTTGGCTGGTGCACACCCAACAGGAATCAACAGTATCTGAGGTTTTCACTAAAATTACTAAGTATAAGCGTGAAAGCAAAAGATTGAAGCAGTGTACTGATACTGTGAATGGTTACCTGATAGATTAAAAGACTGAAGGGTCGTTAGATAGAGACAAGATTAATTAAATAACACATTTAACAACTATTGTGAGACGCGATCCAGTGGTACATCCTTAATGAACTGTCTGATGTGCACTGCTCTCTCGGGTTTTTTGCTCAAAGCACCCACTGACTGCTGGAGCTCTGACGCTCTCATACGCTGCAGTGCGTTACTCTCTGTGTTTGTGCACACGTGCGTGTGTGTGTGTGTTGTCACATGACGTGTGTTTTCAGTGGTATAGTGGACGAAGATCTTTTCAGAAATGCTAGGTGAAACGTCCTGGTGGACTTGGATCGTTTTTGTTTTAAAAATGCCATTTTAAAACTAAGACGTATTAGTGTAAACGGGGCCTAAGTGTGTATTTTTCGCGAGCGGGTTGCTGCTGCGATGGGAGTGGGTGGAGAATCGCGATGCCTGCTCTTATGTGTAGAAGTCAGGTGATTATTTTCTTTCTGTGCATGAATGGTGCTGTTCTAGCCTCACTGCTGGTTTTGTGTGGAGAAGTTTGAGCTGTTTAACGCTGCAGTGGTGTCACAGAGGACGCAAGGGTGGGTGTGCGTGTGTGTAGGGATGAAGACTCTTCACTGAGGAGTCTGCAGGTGTGAGTCATAAATGAGTCATCAGAACAGTGGACCTACACACTAACACACACCTTAGGGGCTTTATTAGTGACAGAATGGCTTTTATACTAAAATAATGATATTTATTATAACTTGCCTCACAGTGTAATCACAGTGAAATCCTGATGATTCAAAGGGATAGTTAATCTAACCACGTAAATTTGTTGTTAATTTACTACTCATGACTCATAATAATGACCCAAACCTTACAGTTGAAGTCAGAAATATTACCCCCGACCCCCCACCCCAATTATTTATTTATTTTTTTTATTAAAAACGGCTTTTGTTCTTGCGGAAATAAAACAAATAAGACTTTCTCCAGAAGAAAAAATATTATCAGACATACTGTGAAAATTTCCCTGCTCTGTTAAACATCATTTGGGAAATATTTATAAAAAACAAAAAAAAAATCAAAGGGGGGCTAATAATTCTGACCTCAACTGTATGTCAAATATTTTTAGTTGAGAATTAAAGATTATGTATTTTTCATGATTTGATGGTTTATTGATTGATTTGCTGATTTAATTTCTTGTTGATCAAGTTAATGAAAAATCAAATCAATGACAGTGGAAAGAAAAAAAAACATCTGCAAGCAAAACAAAATGCACACCTATAGTTAATGAACTATAATGTAGGTCGATTGTGTTCTCAAATCAGTGTGTCATATTTGACTACACTTTAATTTTGGAATAATTAAGGTTTTACTGTAAATCTCGTCAAAGCTCTACTTGTTTGACGATAAAGCAGTACTGTTATAATTTTTAGAATATGTTATGAAATGCATTTAATTCTTTTTTATGACACACCTGAATATTCAGTAAGCATTATTCTAGTCTTCAGGGTAACGTGATTGATTCTTTAAAAATCATTTTAATGTGTTAATATGTGGTGTTCAATAAAAAATATATATTATATGCAATACCCGTCAAAAGTTTAGGGTCAGTAGGATTTTAAATGTTTTTAAAATAAGCTTCTCCTGCTCACCAAGGCTGCATTTATTTCATCAAAAATACAGTACAAAATACAGTACAGCATTATAAAATTGCTGTTTAAAAGTAGTTTATAGTTTAATTGAATAATTTATTCCAGTGATTTTAACAATGAAATTTCAGCTTCATTACTCCAGTCTTCAAAGTCACTTGATAGTAATATCTCACGTTCTGCCTTTTTTCATTTGCGTAACATTGCAAGACTTCGCCCTTCACTATCTCAACAAAGTACTGAAGTGCTTGTTCATGCTTTGGTTACATCACGGATTGATTACTGTAACTCGCTTCTCTCTGGTATTCCTGATAAACAAATTCATAAACTACAGTTGATTCAGAATTCAGCGGCTAGGATAGTTACCTGCTCGCGTACTTCTGATCACATAACTCCAATTCTCTTTCACCTGCACTGGCTTCCTGTTCACTATCGTATACAATACAAAATCCTCCTCTTAACATACAAAGCTCTTCATAACCTGGCCCCTCACTATCTTTCTGATCTTCTTCAATTGTACACTCCTTCACGCTCACTGAGATCATCTTCTGCTGAACTGTTATCTGTCCCACACTTTAGGATGAAGTCATTTGGAGGCAGGGCTTTTAGTTGTACAGCACCAAAATTATGGAATTCCCTGCCTTTGCACATTCGCCAGATGGACTCTATTTCCAATTTTAAATCTCAGATAAAGACGTTTTTGTTTAGGATAGCTTTTAATGATTTGCTGGTTTAAATATGCTGATTGTCATTTTTACTGCTTGCATTTTTATGATGTGCTTGTAATCTGCTGTAAGGTGTCCTTGAGTGCTTTGAAAGGCGCCTAAAAATAAAAGGTATTATTATTATTATTATTATTGATCCTTCAGAAATCACTCTAATATTAATATATTATTATTATTATTATTATTATTATTATTAGTGGTAATAGTAATAACAGCAAAAATGACTGGAGCAATAACTTGATTTGAAACTAAATACAATGAAAAAGCAGTTTTAGAAAATTGTAATAAATATTTAACAATTTAGCATTTTTTAACATTTAATAAATGCCTCTTGAACTGACCTCAAATTTTTAATATATGTAATCATATATTAAAAATGTAAAAAATAGTAATAATAATAATAAAATAATAGTAATAATCCTGTGTAAAATGAACCATTTTAAACCTTTTTGAATTTCTTTTTTCTGTTGAAGAATACTAGTTGCTGGCACCCATTGAGTTCTATAGTAGGAAAAAAAACATTACTATGGAAGTCAATGGGTGTCAACAATCAACATTTTTCAAAATATCTTCTTTTTTGTTCAAGAGAAGAAAGGTTTTGAATGAGCGAAGGGTGAATAAATTATGACCGAAACTTCATTTTGGGTGAACTATCCCTTTAATATTTTTGTTTTAGATTTAAATCGGAAAAAAAAAAACAGTAATAAAGTATAAACATTTTTCCTGTCATATTTGATTCATTTAATTCATTCCTCGGTCCAAGAAACATTCGAAAAATTGTAATTATTCCAAACGCTTAATGGCTAGTGTATTACCAGAGTACACACACGCATACTGGTCATCTGCTGTTCACTCTCATAGCCGCCAGCCATACTCCAAAACCTCCCACACAGATTCAGTGAGCCTGTTCCCACAAACGCGCGCACACACATCTGCTATCTGCTGTTTTACACACAACTATCTTTTAAACTGTCACACCCACGCTGCTTTATAAAGCTCTCTATAATAGAACTGACACACATATACCATCCAGAGGATGGCACTGACACACACACACATACTTGCGCCCTCTAGCTTGGACTACAGCACACTGATAAAGCAATCGCAGACGGGTCTGTTAACCGTGGGCGAAGCGCTTACTCCATATTACCACTGTTATGGCAACACCACAGCAATCTCCTTACATAACATGCCCTCAGTTTGTGTGTCTTTCCATCCTGTGCCCTCCCCCACGTCTCACACTTTTATTTTAAATCTCATTAAATCCATCCTGAAGTCACCGATAGCATTAGTGGCAAAGTCCTTTCTGCTCTACATGCCCAGTGCGGCTGTGACGCACAAACAGGACCAAAAAAAAAACACACACAGGGCTCGGTCAAGCCGCATTACACACGGTGTGTTAGGGTAATTGGCCCAATTTGATTCTCCCCCCGCCCCTCTTTCAAATCCCTTTTTACTTCAATTAAGTTTAATTTGGCCCCTCATCTCCGGAATCAACAAGAGTTAAAACCGGCATGCTGTAAATATCATTTTTATATATAGCTATGTGTGTGTGAGAGAGATAGGGAGTGTATATGAGAGTGTGTTTGAGAGTTTGTACTGTAGAAAAATGTTGTTGTTAGAGTTTTTGTCTAGTTTTTAGTTTTTTTTTTCTCTTGTTTATAGTCCAAATAACTATAAGGTTAGTGTTATTTTTTTCTAAAAACAAGAATAAAATATTTGGCTGTGGGGTAAGTTCAATAATCTTATTTCAAACTGAAAACAACATTATTTTTTACGCTATTGGCAGATCATGTGGCTTGTTTTAAGGAGAAATTCACTGAATTTTGACTTAATTATTTCCGAAAATAAAGCAATGTTTTATACTTGTTCAGAAAATGCTGCTTGATTTATGAATGTGTAGATATTTGGACAAAGCCTCTAAGCAAGAAAAACATTTGTTGCGGTGTGTGAAAGCATGTCAGTGTGTGTGCATGTGTGCGAAACAGGGAGGGATGTGCTGTTGCTGTCCATGGTCCTGATGTGTTTATTGAGGCAAACCACAATGTTATCATTTTTATAATAATTTAAGGATAATTCACTAAGTAGTGAAAACTGGTTGTTGGTTTACTCACTCTTAGTCTATCAAAATGCAGCCAGATTTATTTTTCAGCAGAGCAATAAAGAAGGTGTGGGGATGAAAATGTGGCCCTTGGTGATTTATAAAATGCAAGTCAACACCTATCAGCACTTTGAGAGTCAAGAAAATATCTGCAGGCACAACAAAAGTAATACCTGCGGCATTTGATGAAACATTAAGGTCTAAGGATGTGAAACTGTGTTGTTTTGTGCAAAATATCTAATATTACATTAACAGTATTATTATTTTGAATTGTTATAATAGCCTCTGCAAATGCTCTTCAGTGCATTCATGACAACCTAGAGCATGAGCTTCCTGTCACATAATGGAAAAAACTAAGAATCTGAGAAAAAAGTAAATCTTACCATTTTTATGTGTATTTTTTTAACAATACAGGATATACATCAATGCATACATCATAATTTAAGTTTGCCTGCCAGATGGTTGTGAATCATTCAAGAATTATTTGTACAAGTTGTGGATTAAAGGTAATAATATTCAGTTTCTTGAATGTTGCTTTACACTAAAAATGATTTGTTCACTCATCTTGTTGCATTGACTTAAATTGTATTGACTTCATTCTCTAAATCTTCTTAACTTAAAATGTTTACAGAGTTAAATTATTGACCCAAATACTTATTTCAAGTTAAATGGGCCTGCAAAGTTTAGTTTTAACTTACATTATCAAGTTGGGAGAACTTGCCAAGTTTGGTTTAAATACTGTACATTAACTTACAGTTTCAAGTTCAATGAACTTAATCTGGCAGATTTACTCGGTTAGAAACAGAACAGACAGTGAAATACATTACACTATTTCAGGGCTTAATTTGTGCCAGAACACGCCGGATCCAGATCTGGCACCTCTGAAATCCGATACGGAACCTCATTTTACCGGTTCCGCTCCTCAACCGAGCGCGATTGCTGGATTCACATATGCCAAAGAAACCGTGCTAACTGGGGAAACGCGCCAGGTTTCGAAACAAAAGTCTAGGTGTGAAAGCACCCTTATTTTATCAACAACAAAAAAAAACACTGCTGGAGTAATTCTTTGAAGAAAAAAATAAGCCAAAACATATTTAATAAACACAATCAAGATCAGAGTAATCACTACATCTTTGAAATATAAATTTACTGAAATCCTTTAATATTATTTGTCTACTGTTGCTTAAATATTTCTTTACGTTATGCATATGACAGGATATATTTGGTAAAATCTCACCTGTAGTAAGTCTGCCTTTCTTTTGGAATGTGCTGCAACCTTTAGAAGGAGAAAATGGCATTTTTGTAAATATACTAATGAGTATAGGGGTGGGAATCTCCAAAGTCACACAATAAAATATTATCATGTTACATGTGTAACAATACAGTATTATTGGGATATTAAATAGATTAAATATATCAAGCAAATATATACAGTATTCTGACTGTTGGTCAGGACACAGGAAGCAGACCAGTAGCTGCATTTTATGATGCATTTGAGGTTTAAATTGGAGAGATTTTATGAACAGTTGCGGTAGGAAAGGGCATACAGATTATACAACTTTAAAAGTGTGTAAACTCTAAAACAAATATGAATATGCTGAATATAGCTTTTTCGAAATTAGTATCCATACATAATCATTCTCACAACCAAAGTAGCAAAAAAAAGAGGCAAACAACTATTAATATACAGTAAACAAATATTAGATCAAAACATGAATGTCTCTTTAGTTACCAATGCTGCCTGGATATTCATACGGGCATCTCGTGTATTGATACAGTATTGCTGTGGATAAAATTCATGATACTGTGTCATATTGATACTACTGAACACTATAGTATCAGCTAAAACTGTTGTCTAATGTTGTACTCTTAAAATAAAATAATCATCTACATTTTGTAAGTAAAATAATGTTTTTTATTTTATTTTATACTTTATTTATTTTTAAAATAATGAATGAGCTGTCGTGTCGTAGTAAACTTCATTTGTGATCTATCAAATCTTATGGGTTGTTTAAGGATCAGGGTGCTTCTGCGCTCAACTGATTGAATATTTCTGTCTCATCTTCAGCCTCTGAGCCCAATCTGAAGGTACGTTCACGGTTAAAACAGAAGGTGGCTGAGAGGAGGAGCAGCCCACTGCTCAGGCGGAAAGATGGTACTGTGATCAGCACTTTCAAGAAAAGGGCAATCGAGATCTCAGGTAAACGATATGTTAAAAATGCTTACTATATTAAGATGCTGTCTCTTATTTATTGCCAGCAAATATAGCCAATTTAGACTTTTGTTTGTTTGTTTGTTATGGGGGCTTGTGAAAGCTGAACATACTGGTATACTACATAAACTTAATATTATTATTCTTCTGAGACCAATTTCTATATGCATCTCCTCCTAGACTGTTCATACTACAACCACCAAACTTACTCCAAACCTCCAAACTTCTCTGACTTAGATGGCCATATCTTTTCCAACTGATCCCACTTACGGTTTTCTGAAAACTGTCCCGAAAAATTCGGAAAAGTCACATTTACCTAACATTGGACCAAACTTTGTGACCTCATAACTTTCCACCAGACTGTCAAACAGACTTACGTTTAGGCTCATTTAACTCAGACTACCAATCTGCCAATCACTGATGACCTTTCAACTTACTAGCCACACCTTACCAACCACTTACGGAACCATAGCAACTGTCCTATAGACTTCCATTGTAAAAAACTGCCATTGACTTTACATTGGACATACTAACAACAAACCAATTCATGCGAGAAACATACTAACAAACATATTGGCAACATGCTAATTCATACTAGAACCAAGCTAGTTTGTGTTAGCAACCGCCTAGCAATACCTTTGCAATGCCTTAGCCACCACCTAGCAAACACTCAGAACACCCTAGCAACACCGTAGCAACCACCTAGCAATGCCTTAGCAAATGCTTAGCAACCACTCAGAACACCATAGCAACAACCTAGCCACAACTTAGCAATGACCTATAATACCTTAGCAACTGCCTTGTAACACCTTAGCAACCATCTAGCAACACCTTAGTAACCACCTAAAACACCCTAGCAATTTACTAGCATTGCCTTAGCAACCACTTAGAACATCCTAGCAGCCGCCTAACAATGCCTTAGCAACCACTTAGGATACCCTAGCAATCACCTTGCAACATTTTAGTAACCACTCAGAACACCCTAGCAACGCCTTAGCATCCGCCTAGCAGCCACTCAGAGCACCCTAGCAACACCTTAGCAGCCACCTAGCAACAGCTTAGCAAACATCTAGCAACACTTTAGCAACCACCTAGCAACACCTTAGCAACTGCCTAGCAATTACCTAGCAACATCTTAGCAATCACTCAGAACACCCTAGCAACACCTTAATAACCGCCTAGCAATTATCTAGCAACATCTTTGCAAACACTCAGAACACCCTAGCAACCACCTTGCAGCACCTTAGCAACAACTTAGCAATAGCTTAGCAACCACTCAGAACACCCTAGCAACCAAGCAGCAACACCTTAGCAACCACCTTGCAAACACTCAAAACACCCTAGCGACACCTTAGCAACCACCTAGCAACACCTTAGCAACCATATAAAAAACACTCAGAACACCCTAGCAACCACCTAGCAACACCTTAGCAACCGCCTAGCAATGCTTTAGCAACCACCTAACAACACTTTAGCAACGACCTAGCAACACCATAGTAACTAACTAGACTATCCTAGCAACTACCTAGCAACCATTCAGAAATCCTTAGCAACAACCTAGCAACATCTTAGTAACTAACTAGACCAGCCTAGCAACGCCTTAGCAAGCACCTTGAACACTCTAGCAACCAATCAGAACGCCTTAGCAACCACCTAGAACACCCTAGCAACCGACTAGCAGCGCCTTAGTAATATAAATGAATAGAAAAATCCAGGTGGTACTGTAGTTCTTATCATATGCACAACTATATCAAAAATAGTTGTGCTTTTAGCTTCACAGAACAGAAAGTTTCTATTGAAGATGTAATTTTGGGGTTGCATCAGCACCTGAGTTGTTCAAACAGGCCTGTGAAAAACAAACCTCTGCCGTCAGATGAGAAGTGTGAAGATTTGCAAACAGGAATAATGAAGGCTCTGGTATTGTGTGATATCTGTGCTGCTAATATAAAAACAGCTCAGAGGAAGGGAACCGTTTTACATCCTGCTGATGCATTAAAGCGGGTTCAATCAATCACTAAATCTAGTGAAATCCTCAGCGATATTTTGTAATGATGCAGCTAAAATGTGATTGTTGAAATGTGTGTGTGTGTGTGTTTGTGTGTGTGTGTGTGTTTTCAGTGTCCTCTATGTGCAGCAGTGCTCCTGGCTCTGGTCCCAGCTCTCCTAACAGCTCAAACTGTGCCATTGCTGAGAATGGATCCAGCGGATCCGTCCCAAACATCCACGCTGAGGTGAGAGACCTACCCCCACACATTTCCTTCACTTCTGTTCACGCATTTTACTCGTTTCTCAATAGTTTAGTAATGAAAAAGACTCAATAAATTGTGATGGCCTGGGCTAATACTGGTTAATCTCGAAGAAAAAAAAAAAAACACGTTCTGGGAATCAGTTTTGAAGTTGTTGCTATGGGTTCTAGAATGGCCGCAACTGCTCTGGATGGACAACCGGAAGCTGCTTAGGGTCACCTCTGCATGCTAAACAGCTAGTCTTAAGGATCACCTTAACCTTGAGAGCTGGAGAGAGTGAAATTGAGTGTGCACATGCCAGAAAAGGCTTAAAGCTGTAGAGGCAGAACACAGGATTTGAATGAGCTTGTGTTTGATTTTTGGATGACTTAGTCGCTAAATGCAAAGCAAAACACTTTTGTTAGACAAATATTTGGCATTTTATTTTACATTGATCTTGCATTTAAAATGCATATAATTATGCTGAATAATTCATGTAATTGCTTCATGTGCAATGTATTTGGCTTTTTGTCTTGAATAATTATTTTTTGAGAGAGATAAAATAATCTTAATAGTAAATTTTTTATTAAAATACAAATATGTTATAATTATAAATGACCACATGTTGGTTTATTAGATTATAAATAATAGAATATATATATATATATATATATATATTCTATTATGTAAAAATGAGCTTTTTTTTTTATAATTTCTTAGTAAGCATGGTTTATTATTAGGCAATCCATAGGCTATATTTGTCAATACAGCTGATGTAAAAGCATTTTTAATGTTTAAGATTAAATACTGTTTTTTGGAAACCGAATGTGTGTGTTTATTTAACTATTAATGTTATACTTTTGAAAGATATTCTTTAAAAGATCTTCTTTCACTCAGCCAGATTGCTTGCGTTTCCGCCTATACAAGAAAACAACTTGTTACGTTTATTGCGACGGGCATTGTCGCTGTCCACTCGGGAAACACAACCCATTTGGTTCACTCCGCAAGCTTGCAAGCTGTGTGTGCGCAAGTCTGTGTTGCGAGCTATGTTTGTGCGTATCGCGCGAGCCTCCACTGAGTGCGTGCGCATAGCTGAAAACTGTGAAGGCTTTTATACAGAAGCACAAGCATTTCTTATGTGAAATTTCTTAACTGAGCTAACGAATATCAAATATTGATAATTAGAAAAGGTTGGTCAGTTAAATTATGCTACTGTAAGTAATGATTATTCAGCAATAATTCCCCAGTACTGATAGCAGAATAAGTACTTATCAATACTTCGGCCTTTTGTAATGTAGCACCGATACCGATAAAATACAGAGCTTCGGTACCCATCCCTATTTTTAAGCCTTGTTTCATACACATGGATGATAATTGAGGTTTTTTTATTTACATTTCATAGTTGTTTTGTGATAATGCAAGGAAGCATTGTTATTTAGGAGTGCATCAGTGGATGGCTCATGGAGAACCAATGAAGTATTAATTACTAAGTATAAATAACTATTTATGTCGTATGATGTTATTTACAAATATCTTTGACAATTAAGTACCTTATGCAAGTAATACTTTAGTGAACCCTCTAGACATCACTTTTGGCAACAAATGTACCTTTAATATATATACAATTACTCATATTATGTTGTACTGCTTTGGTTGTATTATAGTCTAAATATGGGGTGTTTTGCATGATTGGCAAAAAAAAATCAACCATATTCATACATGATTTTTACATAATGGTTTAGCTAGTGGTACATTATGTGTTGGGTTTTTCCATGACCTGTATTTTCATGATAGAAATCATGTGATTTTAGCTTCCCTTTGCATGGGGTGTGCTGGAATAGATCTTTCATCAGACTCATCAACCACAGAAAAGGATCCCATCAAATAGCGCCTGTGGAGATGACTTAAGAATCACCTCATTAGCTCTATCTGGCGTTCAAAAGCTACGTACCACTCCCCAAAATAGTCTTAGATTGTTATTCCAGAGCCTCTGTAGCCTAGCAGTACAACCCCGGGAGAAATGATGGATAAATGCGACGGAGAATAGAATGCTGACATCATTGCCACTGCAGGTACAGCGCTCTGCCATTGAATGTCTGCTTTGTCTTTTGCTTCCTTGTCTTTTCTTAACCTTTGCGTCAGAGTGAGAATGACGCAGCTCAATGAACAGCTCATAATGAAAAGCTTAAATTGGGTCTTTGGGGATGAATAAATGTTGCCTTGTAAAGCAGATCCATTAGTTTTTGTTCTTCGCCTTTAAAAATGGCTGCACTCCAAGTCTAGGGTTAGATGATGGGATTACCAGCACTCAGGAACACCTCCGCATTTCTCACTTAGCTCTCTTTTGGGTCATTTTTTGCTCATTAGAAATTAGAATAAAGACTCTGTGCAAAACCCATTTTAATTATCCTCATAACTGCTTAGTCCATTTCCTGAATCGGTTGCCATCTTCATGTGGCATTGATCCAAACCCAAATACAGATTAGCCATTCCCACATGCTTCGTTCCCTATCAAAAATAAAACTTAGTGAGGATTTCCAAAGAAAAACTCTTTTAAGTGATCGAGCCATGCGGAGACTTCTTGTCTGGGATTCCTTCCTGAGATAAAACAGCTTCTTTCCTTAGAGTTGGGCTGTTTGAAGTGTACATCCTGAAATGCAGGCCTGTTGTTTGTCCTGAGGGACTCATATCTCTCTCTCTCCGTTTCTCTTACGACAGCAGTTACGTTCTCTGCATCAGTCTTTGACTGGCGATGGGGCACCGAGTCCCCTAAGCCTCTACACTTCTCCATCTTTGCCCAACATCTCCCTGGGACTGCCTGCCAACGCCCACATCACGGTGAGTGTCCTTTGCTAAAGCTTGGTGGAGTTTTGATTGTTAAGGTGATTCAGAGTTCACAAATGGTGTAGACTGAATCCTAGTGGATCATTATGGTGCATTCTCAACTAGAGCTGTAGGTTTAGACCTGTCAGTTTGGTTCATGTGAAAGTGTGTTTTGAAAGTCAGAAGCACACCATCGAAGTTTACTAGTCTGCTTGCAAACATTTTCTTGGGTACAAATCATTTGAATTCCTTAATCATTTGAATGGCATCCATCCTAAATTGTAGAAGGGAAGTGTGTTCAATCATGCAGAGTTTAGCTCTTAATTATGCATCCTAGGACAGGGGTGTTCAAACTCAGTCCTGGAGGGGTGGTGTCCTGCTGAGTTTAGCTCCAACTAGCTTCGACACACCTGCCAGCTAGTTTTTAGTATATCTAGTAAGAGCTTGATTAGCTGGTTCAGGTGTTTTTGATTAGGGTTGGAGCTAAACTCTCCAGAACATTGGCCTTCCAGGACCGATTTTAGACATTCCTGCCCTAGGACAAGGATTGCTAGAAACTTCCTTGTGGGTGTTTTAGAGCAGGTTGGAGCTAAATTCTGCAGGATTTGACACATCACCTTATTTCTCACAATGATGTACTTGTTGATATACTTATTTCAGACCAAAAACTATATTGTTTTTAAAGATAGCATTGAGAGAGGATTGAATTGATCATGTTCTGGCTTGGTCCAAACTATAAAACTAAGTAGAAGAAGTCCAAGTGCAAAGAATAAATTCTCATTCTGTTCTCCTATACTCTAGGCCCCTCAGAAACTCAGTGCCCAGCAGGAGGCAGAGCGGCAGACAATCCAGAGTTTGCGTCAAGGTGGGGCACTAACAGGGAAGTTCATCAGCACATCGTCCCTGCCAACGTGCCTTTCCACCGGGGCACCCCATGACCCTGAACCCCCCGCCGCCTCTAATAGCCACAGTAGCCATTCCTCGTTGCTCCAGCACGTCTTGCTGTTGGAGCAAGCTCGTCAACAGAGCGCACTTCTCGCAGGTACTTAGCAAAACTGAGTATGCAGATATCTGGTTTTTTTGAAAGCATGCAGTCATAATCCTCTGAACGACGATTCTTGTTTGGCTCAGGGGATGGTATATACTCCTTAAACATCTGCTATAAGTTACCATTAGCTCACACTTTTTGTCTTTATTGTCCAGTTCCCATGTATGGACAGTCTCCGCTGGTAACGGGTGAGCGGGTATCCAACAACATGCGTACAGTGAACAAGCTGCCCAGGCATCGACCACTGAGCCGTACACAGTCAGCACCCCTGCCCCAAACACCGCAGGCCCTGCAGCACCTCGTAATGCAACAGCAGCACCAGCACTTCCTTGAGAAACAGAAACACTACCAGCTGAACAAGGTATTAAGTGCTATGATGAGATACTGGGGCTGCGTCAGAAATTGCATACTTCCATACTATATAGTACGCTAAAAACAGCATGCATGCCGAGTAGTATGTCCAAATACATAGAAATCGAAAATCAGTATACGAGAAGTACACCGATGACCTACTACTTCCGGCGAGATTCTGGAGTGTGCATCCGATGTATGCTGCGCTATCCCAGGATGCCCCACGAGAGAATTCATAAATGGGGGTGAAGCGGCATAACTCGTTTAGGTCACATGATCATGACAAAATGGCAGATGTAGTATGTCTGAGTTCCATTCATGCTGCTCACATACTGTATAGAACATACTTTACTAATGGCGTTAGTAATACGTTTAAATTCAAATGCAGTAACCTACTGAGAAGTTGGCTGTTTCAGGTACAGCCCTGATGTTTGGCTTGCGATTATTTAAATTCCTTGCTAACGAGCCACGCCTCTATTCAGATTCTTTCTAAAGGGACGGATCTTCCAAGACAGCCTCCCACTCACCCAGAGGAGACGGAGGAGGAACTTACGGAAACCGCAGAGATGCAGGACGAGCGAGGGGAGGGGCCTGATCATGTAAGGGAGGGGTTACAGAAAGACAGCTCTGGTGAAACCACACCTCCCTCTGAACGCATAGTTCCGCTGAAGGGAGAAAGCACGGAAAGTGACTTGGAAGAAGAAGATGATGAAGATGAAGCGGTCGAACTGAGGGAGTGTGATGAAGACGCCCCTTATGGCCAGGTGAGGAATTACAGCTTATTGCCTCTCTTAGAAGGTTTTTGTTTGTAATTTAAATTGACGTGTACAATTTCTGCACCATAAGATTGCAATAATCATCACTATATTTGTTGAGATGCTAAAGACATCTGGGATTGGCCTGACAGATAGCCTGCCCTGCCCTAAATTCTTGCTATTTTGACTCATTTCAAAAGCCTTGAGCATGTACCTGGCATGTTTTAGCTTGCAAAGATCTCTCTTAAGCTTTTAAACCTGCTTTTAACCATTGTTCACCATTTCATTAAAAACTGGTATTGCCAGGCTTCTATATTTATCCCTATCTAGTTCCCTGCACGTGTTCTGTTTTGCATATCATGCAACGCTATCAAAACTTTTACTTTAACTTATGTTGAACGAGTTTCAGTCGTAACTAAGCAGCAAAGTGACTGCGTATAAGCATGAGGAGCTTCCATTTCGTGTGTCATTTGTCTTATTAGTTTGTATGTTTTGTACTAGAAACAGCTGTGCCCCAGTTTTCTGTGGATTTTGTATAGTCGTTCTGCTTTTAAGATCCGGTTTCTTTCCAATGCTTCTGTCACTGAGCTTTTCGAGAGCTTAAGTGCGTAGGCAAGTTCCCGATGAGTGCTGGGACGCACATGCGGGGGCTTGGTGACTGGAGATCGAGGGTATCCCTCTCAACCAGAGCGATTGCAGCTTTTTCGCCCCCTGAAAAGGAGGGATTAAAGTGGAAGATTGCTCTCTTCTCTTCCTCCCACCCGTGACTCACTACTGGAGGCAGGAGGAGAGCAAGCAAGAAGAGGGGAAGAGAGATAAATAATTGCTAGATGGGAAAATGCAGTGAAATCTACTTTGGGGGGGGGGGGTTTAAACCTTTAAATAAAGGTTTGTTTAGTTAGCAGTGCTTTGTTTGGCATTTAGCCTTTACTGTTGCTCATAATTTGGGTTGAACAATATCTTTACCTTATTTTTTAAAGCTTGACGTCAAATTTATGCATCAAAACACCAGAAAAGGCTTATGGTGGGATTTTGCTAGCTTAGCAACCACACAAAGCACCTCAGCAACCACATATCATAGTGCTAAAAACACTTCTTATCATTGTGGTGCCAACAGTGGTAAGCATCAATTTAAAAAAATCAGTTTTTGTCAAAGAGCTCATGTTCACAGAGCTGCACTTAAGCAGATTTATTCTAATCTTGCTAAAATGTACCATGGTTTTACTGTGGGATACAATCAATGTACTTCTGTATTACATTTAAATAGCTTGAGCTCTTTAAAACTTTACTTAGCAGGTTTACTCTTATCTTACTAAATGTACCAAAGAGTTGTTAGGAATTTTGGATTCACTACTGACTTTTTTTTACATTACTAAAAGTATTTTTGTCCATAGTATTTAGTCCAATACTAAGTATTTTTCTGTAACCTGAGCATGTTTATTCATGTCTAACCAGCATTATTTTATTCATATTGTAGGTTTTATTACTCCCTTCCACTGAAATATTCAATAATTCATAGGTTTTCATCCAATATTTATATGTATATCTTTAAGTTAATTTTAGGTTAACAATAACTTGACTTCTAGCGGACTATTTGGAAAAGTGGCAGAAGGTAGATCTGTTGAACTGCATTCCATTCATCATAAAAACTGCAGAAAACTTATTGGAACCTGCATGGACCAAGGTCTCACAAAAATCAGTTAAGTTTGACGAAGAAAATAAATCATGGTTTGTGGTTACATTCAGTATGGGTGAATGCGAGAGATCTGCAGAGTGGATGGCAACATCAACAGTCTGAAGTATCAAGACTTTTGTGCTGCCCATTACATTGCAAACCACAGGAGAGGGCAGGATCGTGCTTCTTCTCACACTTCAGCCTCCACATAAAAGTTCCTGAAAGCAAAGAAGGTCAAGGTGCTCCAGGATTGGCCAGCCCAGTTACTAGATATGAACATTATTGAGCATGTTTGGGGTAAGATGAAGAAGGAAGCATTGAAGATGATTCCAAAAAAATCCTAATGAACTCTAGAAGTCCTGCAAGAACACCATTCCAGATGACTTTAATAATAAGTTATTTTAGTCATTGCAGAGATGTATGGATGCAGTCCTTCATGCTCATGGGAGTTATACACAATGTCAATTATTTTTTCCCTTACACCATGACTTTATATTATGTTAAGTGACAAGACTTTTGTCTATGCATTATGCAAAGTCAGACCTTGCTGTTCTAATTAAATAAATAAAAATCAAGGCATGATAATATTTTATTTTGGTAAAATAAGCATAATCTCAAGGCCTTTGCCTTGCATAGAAGACACTTCTGATACCAAATGATCAACTAGAAGTCAAGTTATTATTTGTTCTTCCTAAAATTTTATTAGTCGACAAGACTTTTGCCAGGCAGTGTATACACAACTCCTTAACTTTTCTGATTTTGACCATAATGTAGTAATAATGTGCATCTTTTGTAAGCTACTTTACAGATAAGCTTGAATTAAATTGAATTTTATTTTAGGTTGAGTTAATTAAACTGTTTTAACTTTACCACTATATATATATATATATATATATATATATATATATATATATATATATATATATATATATATATATATATATGTATGTATATATATGTATATGTATGTATGTATGTATATATGTATGTATGTATGTATGTATGTATATATATATATATGTGTGTGTGTGTGTGTGTGTGTGTGTGTGTGTGTATATATATATATATATATATATATATGTATATATAGATATCTAGCTAGCACCAGTGTGGTGATTCAGTCTGTATTCCAACCAATTCATTTGCATGCCATCCAGGCAGATTTGATCCTCCAGAGGAGCTCATTTTGATCTTAACACAGACCCCACAAACACACAAACCGCTGTTGTGCGGGAGGAAGGAGAAACAAATGAATGAGTGAGAGTGAATGAGAGGCAGAGAAAGAGAGAGTTATTGAAAGAAGAGCAACACCCTCCTCCCTGCACTCGCTCGCTCTGCCTGCCTGCAATCATTGAGAAAAACATTTCAAAAGAGCACGGCATTAGAATTCAGACTGCATCCTCCTCGCGCAGCGGCAGACTCACACACACACACACATATCTACACATTCACTCCCCCATGAATGGAGCGTCTCTGACTCATCTCTCCTTGGTGATTCATCTCCTCCTCCGGACCCCGCCTGCCTTCGCTGCCCTGCACTTCACACCCAATCCCAGCCCACCGGGGTGACGTGACACGCCGCAGTGTGTGCTCGCGTGTGTGTCTGTTATGAGGTGACATGCAGTCACCGTTGAGGCAGCGATATCCCAAACACCCCTTGTCACATCGGTCAGTCACAGACCCTCGCTGGCCTTTCCTACTCATTAAAACACCTCCACCTACGTCCTTGTGTGTGTGAATGCCTCTACTTGTCTGCCTGAGTGTCTTGAATACAAATTGAGCCCCCGTCACCTGCCATAAAGAGAGAGAGAGACAGATGCTGCATGCTGAAGACAGTACCGGCAAAAACACAGGGTTTTTTTTTCCTTCAGTTTTGGGCTATTTGGCTTTTTATAAAGTGTTTTTCAGCATAATGTAAAGAAAATGTCCAAAATGCAAGTGTTTTCAATTTAGGGATTACAATACATATTTTCAGGGTTTTAGGCCTTAAAAAGTATTAAATTCACTGGAATATTATCTTGTAGGTCTTAAGTCATTTTAAACAGGTCTTAATTTTTCTCTGTCCAAGTACCCAATTGGAGGGACATCCATCCAGTCAATCACCAAGAATCCATCTTAATATATATATATTTTTTAAAGAGATACAATTTACAATAGATGTTCGGCATTATAATAGATTTTTCTCTAAATTAAATTCCTTAATTTGGCGGGTGGGGGGGATTTGGGGGTGGGAACACAATTCCTCATGATAATAACAAAGCAACATATCAATTTACATGATACATTATAATCAATCAATTTGGACAAAAAGCCCACAATATTTATTTATTTTGAATATTGAATATTTATTGTATATTTTTAAATTATTTATGTTGTTGTCTCCATAATAAATATACTATTAGCTATGTTAATCCTGTCATGTAAAAAAAGGAAATGTTATGTTGAAAAATAAGTATGCAACTGGATTTTTCTTGTTTTTACACATCAAAATATGTCGCTATTAAATAATTACATTTGACTTTAATTTTTTTTTAAATGGCAACCGACCGGGCCGTAAGCCTTTAAAGGGTCTTAAAAAGTCTTAAATTTAACTTCATTAAATCTGCAGAAACTCTGATTTTACAATGCTTTAAAATATTGCATATTTTTACAATAAAAATCTTACAATAGAAGTTACAATTAAAAGCCGCTCTGAAATATTAAGCACCTGTTTTTTTTTTTCAACAATTTATTTTCAACGGAGAGTTTTTAAACACATTTCTAAACATAATAGTTTTAATAACTCATCTTTAATAACTAATAATAATAATAATTTATTTTATCTTTGTCATGATGACAGTAAAGAATATTTGACTAGATATTGTTCAAGACACTTCTATACAGCTTAAAGTGACATTTAAATGTTTGCCTAGGTTAATTAGGTTGGCTAGGCAGATTTGGGTAATTAGGCAAGTTATTGTATAACGATGGTTTGTTCTGTAGACTGCAGAAAAAATATAGCTAAGGGGCTAATAATTTTCACCTTAAAATGGTTTTTAAAAGATTAAAAACTGCTTTTATTCTAGCAGAAATAAAACAAATAAGACTTTCTCCAGGAGATAAAATGTTATCGTGTGAATGGGGCATAAGAGTGCTAGAGTTTTTTTGAGAGAGAAAGAGAGGGAAAGTGTTTCTACATGTGGTTTGTCAAGCCCACTCACCTGTGTGAAGCACACTTCATAAAAGTACAGTGTTTGTGTCAGTTAATGTGTCAGTGAGATGAATGTTTTCTATAGGTGGCTTGTTAAGCCTACTCACCTGTGTGCAGACTCAGAATATATAGCATTTTAGCTTGGTGTGTGTTGAGCTGGGGGAGAGAAGAGGAGTCGCCCTAAACAACATTTTAGAAAACTCTTAATAATCAATAGATCATCTCGGCAAGTATGGTGATAATTTAATTATTGTTTTATCACACCATTACACAGTTTCGTGCATAATGCTTGCATGAAGAAGGGAATTGTGGATATTTGTGTTTGTGGCGGACCTCATAAACTTCAAGGTCTCATGAAAAAAAAAACTAAAATGAACCCCATCCTCTTGCATGTGCTTCCATCGCACGTTGTACTGCATCAGCGGCTCACGCAAGCACACACTATCCTGCTCATCTGATGTAGAGCAGACTCTCCAGCTGTTTACTGCAGGACACTTTCAGATTTTTGACTAATGTTTCTGTGCGTGAGATGATCCAGATCGTGTGCTTGGACTGTGTTTAGTCTGTTATGATCTTAGCTTACTCGACACATGCACTCCGGTGTTATTTTTAGTATCACTTGCCTACTATTTTAATGTTTAATAGTTTTGACTGAGCTTTTCATTTCAACTTGAGGTCTTTTATTTCATCTGTTTTATTAGTTAGGGCGATTAATAATATTTTTAATATTTATGTAGCTTTTATTTGTTTTTTATTTTAATTGTCTTTTTTTTTTTTTTTGCTCATTTATTTATCAGTTTTATGAAAATCATATCAAATCACTTTTATTGTCACATCATCAGCTGCACGTGTGCTATGATGAGTGAAAAGCTTAGGTGCTGGCTCCAGACAGTACAAAATACAACGATTATATTGTTTTTCTTTTAATCAAGTTCAGTTTTTTTTTCATTGTTTTCCTGTATTTATATTGTTATTAATGATTCTTGGTCATTAAAAAGCATTTGTAAACAATTGGAATCTTATAAACAATCTGAAAACTTATTCAGTTCAAATATTTATCACTAATTATATTTAGAAATCCTGTGATTGATGTTAAATCCTGTGATAAAGGATAAAGGAGTAATTTATATATATATATATATATATATATATATATATATATATATATATATATTTTTTTTTTTTTTAGATTTGAAATTCACACTACTACACATCTTGATTTTAATTCTATAATAGTCCGCATTATATATCTACAGTAATTACATTTTTGGATTTAATTCCATTATATTGTTTTCAAAATTAATAGGCATCTATAAAATGAATTTAAACTAGGCCTACACAATATTGGAAAAATAATATTGCGATATTTTATTTTCTGCGTTAACAAAAATTAAATAATTGCAATGCAAAAAAAATTGTTTTTTTAACATTGCTTTGTCTCATTTCTAGTAGAAATATCTAAAAAAAAATCTTAGATCAGGTAAAAATAATGTTTTATTTTGAAATTCAGATGAAATAAGGCAAAATTAAGAGCAAAAAGTAAGTATTAAGTAGAAAGTATCTGTCAATAGGGTAAGTAAAATATTGTTTTTGCTTTGAAATGTGGATATTTGGATGAGAAACAAAAATAAAAAATTTAAGAAAAAACCTATGTTGCATAAATTGTATGAATATTGATTAAATACAATTTTGCAGCCCCTTGTCAACAATAATCCATTGCATATCTTTGTGATATGACTATTGTGGATGCACACATTGCGATATTGGTGCTGAAACGATATATTGTGCTATAGTTTAAAAACGTTTAGATCAAATGAATTGAACCAAACAGAACAAATTTCTTTAACACTTTTTTTCTTTTATTAAATTAATCTGTCCTGAAGAGAAGCATACATATTTGATATGTAAACTGTAGAATTAAACTAAACTGAACAGAAACGGTTCATAGTGGACTTAAATATGAGATTAAATAAAAATGAATTGATTGGTTCAGCGTGAACTAAATTATGAACAGAACAAAACTGAGCTGCGCTGAATAAAGGTTGTTTGTGTGTTGTTTCCCTCAGTATTTGGACCAGCAGCATGTGCAGCAGCTCAACGTGTTCCAGGCCTCTCTGTCCATCACAGGAATGCCCCACAGACCCCTGGGAAGGGCTCAGTCGTCCCCTGTCACCTCCAGTCTTAAAGGAACAACCCTGAACGAGGTGCCCATTAAGCATCTCTTTACGACAGGTAATAATGATGTGGAAAATCTTTTGAAGCTTTAGCACATGCGATTGATATTGATAAGACTTGAATTTTGGATGATTTGGTCACTGCCTGTGCAGGGCTGGTTTACGACACCTTCATGCTGAAGCACCAGTGCATGTGTGGAAATACCAACATTCATCCCGAACACGCGGGTCGCATTCAGAGCGTTTGGTCCAGGCTGCAGGAAACAGGACTGCTGGGCCGCTGTGAGGTGAGTTTGAGGCGCCACCTGCTGGAAGGGTGGAGGAACAGCAAGAAGATCAACAAGCTTTTTCCACTTACGCAGGGCCCGTTTTTGGGGTTAGTATAGAAAGATTATACACGATGCATTAAATATTTTTTCATTATTATTTGATTTGATGTGCATTACTGTCGTAATATTTAAATATGGTTGGCAATAATGAAGATGACAAAGACATTTGTATATTTTCTGTTAAAGAATCCTGGAAAGGAATCACAATTTGTGCTAAAATTTTAGACAAAGCAAGTGTTAGAACAGCTGTTTTCGACATTGATAATCATTAGAAATCTTTCAAGTGAATTAGTATAAATCAGTAATAGAGGCATAAGAGAATTTGAACAACAACATCCAAACATCCACACTTTAAATGGTATAGTACCAGGTAGCCCGCCAAGTTCACGAGTTGCCTAAAAATAAGTCACCATAGCACTACATATGAGTAAGCTGCAACTAATATTTTTATAGGTATTCTTTTTAAATCAGACTTGCATTGGTGTAAATTTGAAAATTACTTTAAGTTATATATTAAAAAAAAAACTTTAAAAACAATTTCAGACAAATGAAGTGTTGCATATTGATATTATCTAACTTGTTAAATCATTGTTGACAACTACTGTGAGAAATCATTAACATGATCAATGTCTTCACATAGATGAATATTATTAATTATTAATAATACCATGTAATTAAAAGTAAATTAAGAAAAATGTGTTATTTTATAAGTGGTAGCCCTTCACACTAATCGGTACTCAAGAAGTAGCTCTCAGTTTCAAAAAGGTCGGTGACCCCTGGTATAGTATAACAATGGTGCTAATGCATTTTCTCCTTTAATTTAGCTTCCAAGAATCTAAAAAGAGCCGCATAATGTTAACTTATGATATGTTATGATAGCTGTTTTTAATGTTTGGTTATGATTGAATTGCACCTTGTTACAATTATGAAATAGTTTGATAACAGGTAGGAAATATTCACGGGCCAATGACATGACCACATTAAAATGTTATATACAATGTTTTTTTGTTTTTTGTTAATGTTTATAGGAGTACATAAAATATAAACTGACACAAACCAAAACAATAATATCGAAGGGGTAATTAAATACAAATACATTTAGAAAATAAAAGATAATTCTAATGATATAATATAAATATATATGTATATATTTATATTATTTATCATGAATATTGTTTACAATATTTTGTAAGAATTTTTGTATTTTTAAACGAAATTATTAAACAAGCACAGTGGTAATTTAAAGAGAAAAAATGCCAAATAATCATTAATAGGGTTGCATGGTTTACCGGTACTAGCTGGTAGTATATGGCTTCAAAATATTGGCGTTTTAAACGGTAGTATAGTCATTAATGATCTATGTGCAATAGATAAAGTTGCATGTGGAAAAGTCAGTAAAATGCTCACACGTTTCTGCAGAAATAGACCATTTTATTCAAATAGTATGTGGAGCACTTTAAGGTTGCAAAACTATGTAGAATTCAGGCCTTTCATGGTAGCCTATTGCACGTTTTCGGATCAGAATCAGTTAATTTCTGTTCCTGTTAATATGATTTAGTAGCTATAACAACTGCGACAATCTCCTGAAAATAGGAGAGCAACAGGAAACATTGAAACAATTTTTGACCACCTCATATAGCCTAATTTTGTTGAAATAAAAATTTGTAGCTATTTTTGTTCGGTATAATTTGTATATTTATATTAATGTGTCTTTTGTTGGTCGGTATTTCTGACAATTGTCTTTATTTCATAGATTTGAGTTATGAATTACAGTATCACAATACTACTTGGTATCATGATACTTCAACTGGTATAGTATCTTAATATGAATTAATGTTATCACGACCACACTAGTCACCAAAAAAATAAATGAAAATACAACAACTAAATACACATGCACTATATACAGTTGAAGTCAGAATTATTAGCACCTCTGTTCATTTTTTTTCTCCAATTTCAGTTTAAAGGAGAGAAGATTTTTACATTTCTAAACATAATAGTTTAATTAACTTATTTTTAATAGCTGTTTTATTTTATCTTTACCATGATGACAGTAAATAATATTTGACCAGATATTTATCAAGACACTTCAATACAGCTTAAAGTGACATTTAAAGGCTTAACTAGGTTAATTAGGTTAACTAGGCAGGTTAGGGTAATTTGGCAAGTTATCGTATAACGATGGTTTGTTCTGTAGACAATCGAAAACAAATATAGCTTAAAAGGGCTAATAATTTTTACCTTAAAACGGCTATTAAAAAATAAAAAACTGCTTTTATTCTAGCCTAAATAAAACAAATAAGACTTTCTCCAGAAGAAAAAATATTATCAGACATACTGTGAAAATGTCCTTGCTCTATTAAACATGATTTGGGAAATATTTTTGAAAAATTAAATAAATTCAAAAGGGGGCTAATAATTCAGACTTTACCTGTATATATTATAATATATGTTGTGTATTTTATCAATTGGTTATTAGATTACAATTTTTGTAATTTAAGGTCCTTCAACCTTCAAAACCTGAAAATACCATTACATTTTAAAAGTTTTTACCAAGTCTAAACGGGCCATTGGAAATAAATTACAAGAGTCGTAAAGTACTATCGAGTCAAATTCTCTTCAATTATTAATAACCTGAATGAATCAGGGGAATATTATTCCTCTAAATCCTTTTTCTAAAATCACAGAAACAACCCTGTAAGGGCCAGGAAGAAGCCATGTAAAAATAATTGATCAATCGACTGTGACGTCCTTGTTCTGTTTTATAGGTCACTGACAATATCTCCATGTTCTCTCTCTGTTTGTTCACAGAGGATCAGAGGAAGGAAGGCCACATTAGACGAGATCCAGACCGTCCATTCAGAGTATCACACGCTGCTCTACGGCACCAGTCCACTCAACCGACAGAAGCTGGACAGCAAGAAACTTTTAGGTGCGTTTGAGCCGCTCTTTGTTTGATTTCAGGACACCAGAGGATTCTCCTTGGCTTGCTTCCTTCCGATCTAATGGGCTGCTTAAGCAAACCTCCTCTGACAGACGCCTGCGCTGTTTTTAGGTCCTAGACATTTGCCCACCTCCGCTTCTGACTCACCAGCCAACAACTGTGTGTGTGTGTGAAGGTTCAGCTGCGGACAGAGTTGCCATCACTTCCACATGAGACACACTTTTTGAAGTAGCGCACACTGTTTTTGACCTTGAGTGCTCTTTGTAGACAGTGAGACAGATGACGGTTGCGTCAGCCTCATCTAGTGAAGATCCTCAAGACTGAATTAGCCAATTATGTCATTATCTCAATAGATGATAAAGTGTGAACAACAGATGTGGGTTAAATATAACACTTGTTCATGTCAGAGTTTCTAATTCAAGTGTTTTCTTTTTTTTTTTTTTTTGTAGGTCCAATAAGCCAGAAAATGTATGCTGTCCTGCCGTGTGGAGGCATCGGGGTACGGTTATGTCTTTTCATTAAACCTATTGATTTAATAAAGACTTCAATGTAATGTGTAATGCACGTTACTGTGAATGATTATTGTTCATGTTTACTTTATTAATAGTGTAATAATATATTATTATAATGAGTTAATAAAGGAATTGAAACGCATGTTTATATATATATATATATATATATATATATATATATATATATATATATATATATATATATATATATATATATATATATATATATATATATATATATTTCCACCATTTTTTAAAAGCAATCCAAGCTAAATTTATTCTGTCAGAATTTTTGTCAAAATACCTCCAACTTTAAATAAATTTTAAAATTACAATGCAAATAGATGAAATTATATAATATGTATACGTTGTCCCACTAGCCTGATTTATATGACCGCATCACCTTCTTCTTCTGCGTCTTTTTAGCTTAGTACCATGTTTTCGACAGTGGTGATAATTTCAACAGTACGGGCAGTGCATGGATGATCACTCTCCAACACACGATCAATTTAGCCAGAATAAAACAAATAAGACTTTCTCCAGAAGAAAAAATATTAATAAAGTCATTAAATATTAATAAATTAATAAAGTCATTAAATATCAAAAGCAATAATAATTATGATAATTTGTTGTAATTATAACTAAACTATTATTAATAGTAATCACCAATTAACTAATTTATAATTAGCTGATTTTGGGTTTTTTTTCCACATTTTTATATTTATTTTATAATTGAAAATGTCTAATGTTCTAGTTAAATGTGTTGCAGTTATTTATTAAACTAATATCAATAATACCTACTAAACGAATATAGATTATTCATAATTGCATGCAGCTAATCCTCAATCTAACTCAAACTGTATTGTAATTCTTTGATTAATCTATAGCTTAGCACTGATTACAAGTTTCCATTACAATTATAGACATTTATTAAGAAAGTAAGCAGGATAAATTGTGAGCTCATCATTTTGACAGTAGTTCAGTGTAATAATGTATATTGATACTGAACATGGGATATTTTCCTCTAGGTGGACAGTGACACAGTGTGGAACGAGATGCATTCGTCAGGAGCCGTACGGATGGCAGTCGGCTGCGTCATTGAACTGGCATTTAAAGTTGCAGCTGGGGAGCTGAAGGTTCATTTTCACTTCTCGTACCACAGCTTCATGTTTATTTGATGTTCTGCTATAAATATTCCTTGCCTATATTAAATCACATGTGCTTCTGTAGTCTTCATCTTCCTTATCTTCTATTTATGTCTGATGAACAGAATGGTTTTGCAGTGGTCCGTCCTCCTGGTCATCATGCTGAGGAATCCACCGCCATGTAAGTCCAGTAAAATGACTCTTTCTTGGGGGAGTTCATGTGATTTATATATGAAAAGTTTATTTGCCAGTTTAGATTCCAGAAACAGAAATTATAAGTAGGTCCAGACGGATTCTGCCGACTTTTTTTTGCTATTTCTGCGGAGGATTTTGCTAAATATTTGCAGATTTCTGCTGAATTGTTTTAGGAGTATCATAACTAAAACCTTAATATGTGAAATTAAAAATAATATGTTTTTAACTTTTGTTTAATGTTTAAAATGCAAATCCAATTAGATTCCCTTTATTTGGTAAACAAAGCAAGTCTCTTATATAATATCTCTACTAAAAGACAGAAAATATTAATGTACAAACTGCATTGTACATAAATCAGATGAAGATGTTCATATTGTTTAATAATATTACTGAAATTTACTTTAAAACTGAATAAATAAAAAATAGATTTACACATATTTACTCAAGTAAAAAAACAGAATTATTAATTGGGCTAAAAATCTGCAGAAAATCTGCGGAATTCTGCGTGCGCAGATTCCATGTGGGCCCACCTTTAAGATAAGAAACTTAGAAACTATGTTTTTACATTGAGTATTAAAAAGCTCAATTACAAATAATATATTTCTTAAAAATTCTAAATCTATTCTCAGGAGCACAGAAAAATCATACTCGAGTAAAAGTACCATTACTTACCCAAAAATGTAGTGCAGCTAGAGTAAAAGTATCTGTTGTAAATATTAGTCAAAGTATGAGTAAAATGTAGCCTTTTTTAAAAGTACTTATGAATAGTGAATATTTCACTGTGAAATGTTAATGCGTTTATATGCAGTCTGTGCATATTTGTGAAAACATAACCTTGTGTAGTGCATTTAGTTATTGTTTAAGGCCATTTGATGATTTCATGTCATCATACAGTAGACATTCGTCATCTTCTCATCAGTGACATGCTGTCTAAACAGACTAACATCTCTTGCATTCCTGGAGGGCCGCAGCTCTGCACAGTTTTCTCCAACCCTAATCAAACACATCTGATCCAACTAAAATCCAACCAAATCGCATACTTATGCACTATTCTACGCCATTTTGTAGTATAAATAGTGTAAGTAGTGCGTTCACACTGAAAACTATATAAATGATAAGTGCACTTTAATCACGTGGATGATGCGCTCATTCAATCGGTAAAATGATGTGTGTACTTGACACACTCAACAACTGCAGCTTCGCTCACATAGCGGAAGGGGCGGAGCTATCGGGCACACAAGTTGGATTACTTTATTTATTTTGGATTGTGAAAGCAAAATTCTTCTACGAGAGAGATTATACCGCCTCCCCATGAGGAATGTGGTTATACTCATGTCAGGTATTATTTGGTAAATTGGTCATTTATTTCTCTAATTTGGCAACTGACAAACGTCATCAGGGAAACGGTTTAAATTCTCACTTAGTGAAAAAAACATTAGTGCTCCATTTGAGACAAAACTACATGTATATACTATGCTGTTGAGTGTATAAGTACATAATGCATTAGTGTATAGTGTGCCATTTGGGACGCAGCTAAGATGTTCAAGACTAGTCACTAGTAGTCTTGAAAACCTTAATTAGTTGGATCTGATGAGTTTGATTAGGGTTTGAGAAATTGAGTTTGAGACCTATGAAAGGTTTTAAACATCTTCTTGGACACTTTCCAAACATGTCTTGAAATTGGTCATTATGATGCAAAATTATTATTATTTCATTGGACTGGAATCGCAGGACTGGTTTTTCTACTCAGCCAATCTCCATAGACAAGAAAAAAATTAGGTAGTGACTGCAGATAAAAGTAAAAGTACCGATACAGCACTACAATGTACTTAGGGGAAAGTTAAAGTACACATTTTTAAACTATATAGTAAATTACAATTTCTGAGAAAAACTACTCGATTGCAGTAGTTTGAGTATTTTGTTACTTTACACCACTGTCTATTCTAAATCTATTATTGCAGCGCTGTTGATCACTACAAAAAACAGCAATTAATTAAACATTTTTTCTAAAAATTCATTACAATCAATCGCAGTTTTATTTTATTTTGCAATAATTTTACATTTTAAGTCTTTAAATAAATGTAGAAACAACAAAGACAGTATATATTTAATCTATATAGTTCAATGGCATCTTTTTATGAACTCTGAACATTTTCTAATATGTAACCAGTGATTGTAGCCATTCATCGCTATAGCACAACTGAGAGCTATCAAGCACAGTTTAACTGTGTCTTTAATTGAACTTTTTTTGCCAACTAACTGATTCATGACCTGACTGATGATTAACTATGGCATTGCATGCTCGTTATTTGATTTGCTCTATAATATTGCAGAGCGCACTACTGTATTTATGCATCCAATTTCAGAGCAGGTCCTATGAGTGCAGTAATTATGGCTGACAGGACAGGAAAAGTGATTTTCACTGACATTTAGCCTGACAAAATTTCCTCTGACCTGTAGTTCAGGGTTGTTCTACTGAAGCTCCTTTTCATCTAAACTTTTTTTTATGCTTTTTTAGCTTTGTTGAAATGAGTTTGAAAAGTCTTCCATTTTGATGTGGTCACAAAGACTAAATAAATGCAGTTCTTGTAGAGAAAAAAAGACAGAAGAATCAGTTTGACTGCGGTGGCCACAGTTCGTTAATGATCATTGTGTGCTATAATGCTAATTGTAGCACTAATGTGCATAGGTTGTAAAAAGCCATTCATAATAAAATCATACCTGGTCTTAAACGTGTATCCAGTGTTCTCAGTGTGGGGACGTTTGTGTGTTGATGTGGGTTTTGGGTGTCCAGATGTGTGATATCTAGATGGATGAATCATTTATGAGTGTTCGCATACTGTATATAAGACTTCACTTCTCTATGTGTGTGTCTTGGCAGGGGTTTCTGCTTCTTCAACTCAGTCGCCATCACTGCCAAACTCCTGCAGCAGAAACTCGGTGTGGGCAAGATCCTCATCATAGACTGGGTGAGTTTTTAAGGATGTACATGCAATACACAGCCACTTGTTATGCTACGAGGCAAACATCAGTATTAATATAACTACTAGGCTGTTTCCTGTGCAATTAGTACATTTGTGAACTTTCCTACTATGTATTCCACTGTCAAGTGTTAGGGGTATTATAGCAAAGTAGAAGCATTTGGGAAATACAGCAACTCAGCCACAAAATAGTAGAATTACAGAGTGCATACTAAGGTGTATAGAACACAGAAGTCACCAGCTTTCTTCAGGCTCAATAGCTACAGTCCTTAAAAGTTTGGTAGTCTTCATATTTGCTTAAGAAGAGTGTGTAGAGATCTTCATTAAATGGGTTTCCATGGCTGAGCAGCTGCATTCAAGCCTTACCAAGTGCAATGCAAAGCGTAGGATGCAGTGGTGTAAACATGGCACCACTGGATTCTAGAGCAGTCTGGAGTCAGAATCTCTGCCTGGCAATCTGATGGACAACCCTAGGTTTGGTGGTTGCAAGTAGAATTGTGCTTGTCTGACTGCTTTGTAGCAAATGTAAAATTTGGTGAAGGGATGATTGTGTGGGGTTATTTTGTTAGGTTGTTGGGATTGGTCCTTAGTTCCAGTAAAAGGAACTCTTGATGCTTTAGCATACCAAGACATTTTGGACAATATCATGACCCTTTTTAATCTAACATTACTGCCCACCAGTGCACAAATTAACACTCTTAAAGACATAGATGATTGTTTTGGGTGTGAAGGAACTTGTCTGGTCTGCACAGAGTCCTGAACATAACCCAATTGAACATATTTGGGATAATTCAAACATTGCAACTTGGTCAAATATCATGTGCCTGGCCTCTGGATCCATCCATGGAGCAGGGAATTTTGTAATGTTATACAATGTCTTGGTGTGTTTTTTAGCAGTTTATGTGTTTTTGAGTTTGATTAATTGTCATCGACATGTTTACCGGACCACAAATACCAAAATCAGACTTTACTCATTGCTTTTTATAGGATATCCATCATGGAAACGGGACCCAGCAGGCTTTCTATAATGACCCCAATGTGTTATATATTTCTCTGCATCGTTATGACGATGGCAACTTCTTCCCTGGCAGTGGCGCTCCTGAGGAGGTAACAACATTTCCATCACATTATTTTGTGGCGTATGACTAAAGTTGCCATTGTTTTTCAATATGGCTTGCTCTGCAGGTGGGTGTGGGTCCAGGAGAGGGCTTTAATGTCAACATTGCCTGGACAGGTGGAGTGGAGCCACCTATGGGTGATGTGGAGTATCTAACCGCCTTCAGGTGACATCTGCACTTCCTGTCTGTCTGTCAATAATAGAGATAAGAAAGCTGATGCTAGATTTAATCTCACTTTCAGAAACTCTTGCCTGTCAGCTTAAAAAGGTTAAACATAGGTCCAGAGAGGACTTGTCAAAAACATCCTAAAACATCAAATTATTAAGATTTTTTTTACTTTTACACTGAAATAGATTTTAGTAGATGACAGTTTGTTTACATATTTATTCATTGCTCAATAGTAGAAAACAGGGGGGGAAGTGTGTATTTGCTCTCGAGGCCAAACTATTGTATAAAATGGATGCCTGCTAACAAAGAAAGCATGGCTTTACGCTTAAATAATGCTTGGATTAAATATTGTTATTTCAGTCGGAAACACAATCAAAATGTAGTATTAAATATGTAATATTATACATATTTTTGGAAATTGTATACTGTTTTCATTAAAAAACACCCAAAATAAACATAAAAATGAATTGAAAAAATGTCCATAAGGATGCACAAGAATTATTTGTTTTTATACAAATCTCACAAAATGGTATTTTACACTTCAAATTGATGTGATTTGAGGAGGAGTGTCCTTCCAGAACATTAGCACATATTCTGATTTTAATTAAAGATTACCAGAGCAAGCATTTGTTTTCCAATGTATAAACATGAATTGGTCACCTCAATATTAGCAAATAAAGTAAATAGTCAGTCATTAGCTTAAGAAAAAAGTCAGTTTAAATAGAAAAGAATCATTTTTTACTTCATGAATATTTTTTATTTATTTATTAATTTTTTTTGTAATGCTTTGGTTTCATTTCTTATGGAATCTAAATGGTTAATGGAAAGGTACATTTAAGGTAAAAACATTTCATGAAACTACACTAAAACTCTTGAAAAATGTGTGTGCTTGTAGAACGGTGGTGATGCCCATTGCCAATGAGTTTTCGCCGGATGTGGTGCTGGTGTCAGCTGGTTTCGATGCTGTGGAGGGCCACCAGTCACCGCTGGGCGGATACAACGTCACTGCCAAATGTGAGTAAACGCGAGAGCTCAGATTGCAGAAATGTTTTTAGTATCCCCTAATTGTATTACACACATGAAAGCTATGCATTTTTCTAGATCATTGCTCCAAATGTCATACTCATAGTACTTGGATTAGTCTTTTTCACTCCTAACCTACATTACACTGTGGTTTTTAGTTCATGAATTACCTAGCATGCTCCTGTCTCTTTTCGTAGGCTTTGGTCATCTCACTAAGCAATTGATGAAGTTGGCTGGTGGTCGTGTGGTTTTGGCACTGGAAGGAGGTCACGACCTCACCGCCATCTGTGACGCATCTGAATCCTGCGTGGAGGCACTTTTGGGAGATGAGGTGCCTGACATTAATTCACACACACACACACACACAAACACAAACACACACACACACACACACACAATAATACGTGACATCTGGTACTTTTGGTTTAAAACTGTTAGGGTTTGGAGTCTTAGTGATAACAACAAAGGGTTTAAAAAATTGTAGTGATCAGATTATTTCTTTAAAAATGTATTATGTATATAGATATTGCTTTGTCATAAAGTTCATTATATTATATTATATAAAAATGCATGTAAGTGTATAAACACTTGATAGCTTTAGTGTCCACCCTATATACAACACCTTAACTTTTCCTGCTTTTCATTGTAATGTAATGTGCATTTTTTGTAAAACTGCTTCGGAACAATTATTACTATAAAACTCACTATACAAATACATCTAGGGCTCTATTTTAACCATCTAGTCTAAAGCGCATTGCGCAAAAGCATTTAGGGTGTGTCGAATCCTCTTTTGCCTTTTTAAGAATGAAAAAATACGCTCTGCATCCTGGTGCATAGTCTAACAGGGTTGTGCTTATTCTCTTAATGAGTTATAGGTGTGTTTTGGACATAACGTGCATTAAACCAATCAGAGTATCATCTCACATTCCCTTTAAGAGTCAGTTGCGTCGCTTCCTGGTGCATTTGCTATTTAAATGGTGGACTTTGTAAGTGGAAAAACAGAACACTTCACTAGCAAGAAAACAGTTAAACAGACCATCTGCAGCAAGAGGATAAAGAATGAGCCTCTTCCATTCTCTTTACATAGATAAGGAAATGGTGGAAACTCACTCCACTGAAGACATCCATTAGCCTACATATTTTATATAGTTTTGTTAAGTGCAAAGATTTGTTTCAAAACTATTTCTAAACTTTCCAGCAAACAAATAAATGAACAATAATAACCAAGTGTGGTCAAAAACCTTACTATTTATGTCCAAACACACGTCCTGTTCTTATGCCCCATATGTTGATGCATACATCTCCAAAACCCAACAGATGGACGAATCTAAACTTATTTTAATTAAAGCAAATATGAATATGCATATAATTAATAATACTGCTAACAATAATAACATTAAATGCAAATTGTCATTAATAAACTGAACAAGGCATGGAGGCATGAAGAAGGCATGGCATAAGCAATGTGTAAGTGTTTGAACCCACATAGGTGCATTACTAATGCGCTCTGCGCTAGACTTTAGACCAGCTTTTAGTTGGTCATTGACGCAGCCTATTTCAATTCCTCAAATTAGCAACGCGTCAACGATGTGCCTTAATACACCACCTGTATCGACCAGCACAACAATGAGTCCACAAATTGGCGCAAATTGATTTTCTTTTTAAACAACGTGGTGCAAAACGAGAAAATTATAGAGTTGCGCTGGTCTGAGAATGGCAACAAATCGCGCCAAACACGCCTTATTGCACCGGGTGTATGATAGGGCCTTGAATTAAACTTAGTCAGTTAGATTTTTGTGAGGAACATGGTATGATATGTCAGTTTGAAAAAAAAAATAATTCAAATTACTGTTATTGTTTGTCAATGAATACATTTTTTATATACATTTTTGGTGTGTTTTGCAGTTGAATCCTCTACCATTGACGGTGCTTCAGCAGAAACCATGTCCAAAAGCTACAGCTTCTCTAGAAAGAGTCATTGAGATTCAGAGTAAGTGAAATTCAAGAGAAGTAAGAATGATTATATTATATTATATTATATTATATTATATTATATTATATTATATTATATTATATTATATTAAATTATATTATATCTTATTATATCTTATTATATCATATTATATTATGTTATATTATATTATATCTTATTATATTTTATCATATCTTATCATATCATATTATATTATATTATATTAAATGAAATTATATTATATTATATCTTATTATATCTTATTATATTTTATTATATCATATTATATTATATTATATTATATTATTCATTTGTTTTAACTTTTCATGTATTATTTATTGCTTTATATAATTTTTTTAGTTTTTAGAGATCATTTTGTATTAATAAATATTGTTAATGTAAATTTTTTTATGTTTGTTTATGTACAGTGTCTATAGAGAAGCATAATACCCTTTGAAATAATGACTTTATTTGTCATACAGCCTGAAATCAACTTGCATTCCAAATAGCTTTTCCAACCTTTGAAATGTTTTGAGCCTTCTCCTAACCTGTGGCTTTCTACAACTTTAACCCGAAGGTCTTTAGAAAGCTGGGTGTAAGTTTCACATGGTATGATGGTTTTCTATTGGCACTGTATGTACAATGAAATACAGTATATATATATATATATATATATATATATATATATATATATATATATATATAGATAGATAGATAGATAGATAGATAGATAGATAGATAGATAGATAGATAGATAGATAGATAGATAGATAGATATATATTTATTTTAATTTTTTTTTTTTACAGTAGAAAAATACAATAAAATATTTAAGAATCAGTTTTATTGATCACTTTATTGATCACTTTTAAATCCCTCGTGTCTCCTCTTGATTGACCTGTTCTGGTGATGTGCAGGTAAACACTGGACGTCTCTGCAGAGGTTGGCTCCCACGGTAGGTCAGTCTCTACTGGATGCTCAGAGGCGAGAGAAGGATGAGGCAGACACTTTGACCGCCATGGCCTCTCTCACTGTGGACAATGAACAGCAAACCACCTCCACTGAAACCAGCAGGTACTGCAACTCTGCTGTTATACATCTTAAAATACAAAATAAGAGTGGTGTTTAGATGTCAATATGGTGCTGAGTGTTTCTGCTTTAAATAATACGTTATTTTAGCCTTCAATAATCGTTACCAAACATATTCTTGTGGAATGCCCACTTTTTTAGGTTATCAGACAATGATTTCTATCTGGAAAGACTTTAAATGAAATATTTTCAAATATGAATCATTCCAAACTTAAAAGTAAAACTGTTTTAGATTTTTATTTTATATTATTATTATTATTATTATTATTAATATTATTATTATTTATGTAATTTATTTTATGTATTTTTGTCGCAGTTGATAACTTTTAATTGTTAGAATATTTTTTATAACTATAGAAAAGTGATATTTATAAAATGCGGTAAACTTGATCTGTTTTTGTGCCATGGCATAGCCAGAGAAGCTGATAATTCTCTCTCATTAATCCTTACCCAATGACTGGTCCCCTCAGATCAGCAGAGGAGCCGATGGAGGAGGAGCCCGTGTTGTAGAAGAGCGAGTTCAGGTCATCACTGCTCCAGTCTTCTCGTCCACATGTGCTTGGCACTGGTCACCCTGACGTCACGCCTCATGTTCCTCCTCCCAGCTCTTTGATTGGTTCCCTCGGTCCGTCACTCATTTCCAGGTGCTTGACTGACACGTTCACAGCACACCCACTTTTTGCTTTTCCGAGGTTAAAGCATAGCAAACCGTTGCCCAAAGTGGACAACAAAGGCATGATGGGTAATTACAGGACCACTCCAGTGAGGGTTGCGCAGCTGGACAGGCCGAACAATGGAAGTACTCTTCAGAAAGAGAGGCCTTTGATTTCATTTTCATGTTGTGTTGGACTGAGGATGTAAAGAAGAACATGCAAAAAAAAATTTAAATGAAGAAGAGGAGGAAGGGAAAAAACACGACAGCACAGAGATGTTGTCGCACGGAGAGCCGCGAAAAAAAAGCTTTGTTTTCTGTACAAAGTATAAGTGATGTACAAAGTTCCAAAAAAGCCAACAAGCAGCAAAAATACTTCAGCACAAATCACAAATATACACTCATTCACCGTTGAGCGCAGTTCCCGGAAGAGGAACTCGACGTCCAGATGCCGTCGAAACACCTTTTGCAGACAAGTATACTCGTTTACACTGTACCGTGTTGATTTTTTATGGTATACTTGTTCATCTGTATAGTATCCTGTTATGAAAAGCACACAAACATACAAGAAATATAAATATATATATAATATATATATATAAACATATGTAAATTTATATATATATATATATATATATATATATATATATATATATATATATATATATATATATACATATATATATAGTTTTGTGTGTACCGTATACACATTTGAGCATACTTTATATCCCCTTATTCGGACATTTTCTTATCAGCTGTGGTTGTACATACAGTAAAAGAGTCTGCAGACTTTTCAGAACGTGGAAGAAGGATGCTTAGCCTTTCATCCCTTTTCTCTCAGAGAAAAAAAAGCTTCTTTTTTGGGGGAATATACGGCTTCGCGATGACATACTCGCAAATAAACGTAAATAACAGCAACTCATCCGTTTTACGACGAAAGGTGTAAACGACGAAGAAAGGATTTCAGTCTTGACCTTCGGGCGAAGACGCTGATAGAAAGAAAGAATTTTTTTTTTCGAAGAACTTGGTGCCTTTTATACTAAGGAAAACATTCAACACCAATACTTAACGAATCACGAGTCCTCAGACTTAACTTACATTGATTTGTTTGTTTTTCAAATTGCCTTAATTTTTTCGAAGAAAAAGAATTTTAGCCATGAACGATGGAGAGCACAAAACAATTATCCTCCTCCTGCCCCGGTTTCTTTCTTTATTTTTTGTTATATATATTTTTTTGTTTGTTTCATTTTTATGTAAATGTTGTATCGGTAAACGGTTTTGATACATTTTTATTTTACTGTTAACGAAAGAACAAAGGAACGAGAGAAATTCAACGATTGTTTTATTTATCGGTCCTGTGCTGTAGGCTAGCACATGACATGATTGTTTGGAAACACTGACACTGTTGTGACCAATTTTTGCTTGTTTGTTTTTTTTATCCTCACCTTTGTACATTTGTTTGGCTCCTTTTATTTGACTTTATTTCCACTGGCGAGAGTGTTAGCGGTGACTTTTTTTATTGAACCATTTCCTTTTTGTACAAAAATGTAAAACAAACAACAACAACAACAAAAAAAAGAGTCTGTATCAGTGTTAATTTTGTCATTTGATTTGAAGTATTCTCTGATAAGGAATGTACAGCGTGGTACAGATATTATCGATAATGTTGATTTTATGTCACTGTGCAGTGCATTTGGCATTGTCCTTTTTCAGGTTTTCAAGATTTTTTTCCGGCAATAAGAGTGACTACCACTTTTTTTTGTTTAACACTAAAATACTACAACCTTTTGGTTACATCTGTCATCTTTTGATATAGCTTTTACGCTATTGATATGGCTATTTTTCACCAGACTAATTAGTATTGTTCATAACTGTCGTCTAATAGCTGGTTAATCACTTGTGGATGAAACGCAATGGCTTGTTTATGACCCTGAAATAACGATCATTACATTTTCACTGTGTGTGACAACAGCTTTTTTGAGGGGCCAAATTCGAATTAACCTACTGCGTTTTTATTTAATGTCGCCCTCTTGCTTTTGCAACGTCGTAACTTGTTGTGAGAGGTGACAACATGCCTAAAGACGAAGACTTTTTTTTTTTTTTTAAATAATGAGACTGAACCGGGCCTCGAGCATCTTGCACTAATACTACACTGTAGGTCCGATAATTGCATTTCTTTTTCACTTTCAGTTCTCAGACGCAAATTACGAGGCATTAAAAGCAAAGTAAATAATCTCAGCTAATGCGTTTTTTAATCACGCACGGTTTTTTTCCTATGTGTACATTCATTAGTTCAAGGTTGATATTGAAATTTCGATGCGCATTTCTTGACTTCGCTCTCGTTTGATTTATTTATTTGGAGTCAGAAATGATGGCTGAGAGTAAGTTGCATTGCTTCTGGATAAGTGTGTCTTGTTGTAAATCTATGATAAGTTACGTACATTTTGTCGTTTCAACAGCCTCATCGCCTCTGGGCAATAACTTTTTAAAATAAAAAACAAACATCGGCCAGTTTTCCGCAAAAACAGTCATTTATGAAGAGCCATGTCACCATCCGATAAAGCATTTACACATTTCAGCAGTTTTTTGCTCTGTATGTTGAATCACTAGCGTCACCTTCAGCTGTTCATTCTGTCCCGTTATCGTTTGCGTACCAAGTGCTTTGACTTGGCAAAGAAGCAACAGGAAACGAACACTTTGTGAAAAATCAGGCACTCGCCTGTGTACGTAGATACTGTAATATACACTAAGAGATTTTCCCTCTTCTATGTGGCTATGGGATGATATGTGCTGTCTGAATCAGGAACTACTGTGATCAGGTTTTGTAACGTTTGGATGTAAATCACCAACCATTTGTGCATAGTTTTGTATCTTCACCTTATATGGTGTCAAACAGTTTATTGGCTGTGCAGTTGGTGGTGAAAGCTTTACTGTTCGGTCCTTTTTTTGTTTATTTAAGGAGGAATCAGCTGACATTTTTGTCCCTATTTTGAGGATTGAAAACCTTCTCCTTGGGTGTGCTGGGTTGAGCAATACATAGAGAGAGGAAATAATCGAACAGATGTAATACAGTATGACTGTTGGCTTTCTTAAAGGGATAGTTCACCCAAAAAGGAAAGTTTATGCACCGTTTAAGATGTAAGTGACTTTATTTCTTTGGTAAAACATTAAAGTTTTTTTGTTGTTGAAATTACTGGTGATTTAAAGTAAATTGCCAATTGAGAAATTAAAGGGATAGTTCACTCAAAACTGAAATTTGTTATAATTTAATCAGCCTTCACTTGTTCCAGACCTATAAGAGTTTCTTTCTTCTGTTGAACACAAAAGAAGATATTTTGAAGAATGCTAGTTGTTGCACTCATTGACTTCTATTTTATTTTTTGCCTACACTGTGGCAGATCCTTCAGGACTTTGCAATACCACAATGCTGAATTCAGTGCAAAATCAAGCAAATGTCCCAAAACTTTTGTGGAGCTCACAATTTAAATTTTTTTCCCCAGAGATTTCCTGCATATTTTAGACGATCAGGACAATTTTCCACCATGCCATTCAGTTGTATCAGTCGCTAAACTTCTATATATTGTAAATATGCATCTGTTATCATAAGCATGTCCTTCTCTCTCTCTCTCTCTCTCTCTCTCTCTCTCTCTCTCTCTCTCTTTCACACACACTGTCCGAGTGGCATCATTTCCTGCAATATGTTCAAATAGCCGTCAAACAACATGGATGACTTGCCATTTATTTTATTTCAAATTCAAGTGGTTTTATTTTGAAATATGATACAGCAGGGTTTAGTGGTAAACTGTAGTGTCTCTAGACCAGAGATGCCCAAAGTTGACCCATGATAACCTTCGATTTGTCTCGCCACCCCATCTGAGAATATTTGGATTGTGGAGGGTGATAGTAAGGTTGGGGCGAATGCTACAACAGAGCTCGTCAACTTCTATTTTAACATACCCTTTTGTTTAATTGTTGAGCTACAAAAAAAACTTGAAATTAAATGTTGTGAATTAATCCGATTTTTAAAAATGTAAACACTGTTACTCGACCATAAAAGACAATGCACAAGACATCGACGAGCAAATGAAGACAAAGGCAGGTGCAACTTGACTAGAATATTCAGCATTGCACTCCATTGTGTTATAAATAGGGATGTTCCGATCAGGTTGATCTCGAGTATCTACCGATACCGAAACCTGATCTGACACTTATAATAATATATAAAAAAAGAATAGAGCGAAGAAACAGATCCAGGATGTTTGTTTTTTTATTATTTAATTCATCTTATTCTAACATGCAACAACTCCTTTAACAAACAGAGCACTTCTGTAAGGTAGCTTAAACAATCAAGTAATAAATAACATCAGTTTTTCACTTTTGGACTTTAGTGCAACAGTAAATATAAAAAATAAATCTAATATAAAAAAAATAGCACCTCAATCTAAAATACCCGGCAGGCAATCTTAAGTTTACATGTCTCACAGTTTGCTATGGCAATGTTGTCATCATCAACTTTATCTGCTTCAAGCTGCTTCCGTGTTCTACTTTGCCAACATTTAACCAATAGCGTCTCTGCAACAAAGAGATGTCAAGCTGCACACGTTGCTGTTTCTATGTGAAGTCAAGAAAGAGGTCTCACTTAGTGCCACCCCATAACTATAGGTGTTTATACATATACACATATATTCGAGTCCTGTTTGGGAGGAAACATCCAATTCCAATCGAGTGGTCCAATCGAGTGGCCCAATTTCCGACCATGTGTTTGGATCTGGATATCCCTAGTTATAAATGGGATTGCTTATGGTTTTAATGTTGGAAGTACATTATAAAATGTAAAAAAAAAATGTTTATATAATTTTTAATATAAGTATTGTGAATTGTTTTTTATTATTTTTTTATATATAATTAAAATAGGAAATTACCATGTCATACAGTTTGCTATATTTACCTTCGGTCCACCACCATAAATCAGATTTGGATTTTGGCCCTTCATTAAAAAAAAGTTTGAGCACCCCTGCTCTAGACTTTGTTTCTCTCTGTGTTTCCTTTGCATGAATTACAGATCAATGGTTTTTATGGTCAAGAAATTTTCTAAACTAAACAATAAAATAAATGCCAGAAAAATGCCACAAATTAGCAAAAACTCGACACAAAATCTGAT